TCTCCCATATCTCATTCTGCAACGCTTCTGCTCCCCTCGGGGACTGCCCCATGAAAGCCTACATCCAGTTGAGGCTCAGCCACCTGGTCACACCATTCTTGGCTAATGGTATAATGCCTGCTGGTGCCTATGGATAGGCCAGGCTGTCCTTCTGCTGGGAAATTGCCTCCCGCATTGCTGTGACTGACGCCATAAACGCCATCCTTGCAGCCCTGCCACCACCGATTGTATCAATGGAGGCCTCACTCCCTTGCCTCTACTGCTTGGCGCTATCCCAGCTCTGCTTGGTATACTGCAGCTTCCTGGCGTCCTACTCCGCTAGGATCGGACGCTCCCCTAGCTCCGTCTGTCCGGAGTGCAGGCATCCCCTTCAGCCCAACCAGCACCTCTTTGCCTGCCCTGCCTTGCCCACGTCTCTCAGCATCTCCTCATTGTGGGACAGGCCCATGGAGGCTGCGAGGCTGCGGCATTCCTGTCCACCCTCCCTGCCTTTGCCCATCTCCCCCCTTTTCTGGTGCCTTCCCCCCGGCCACCACCAGAGCCTCCCCCCCGGCGAGCATGACGGTCACAACAAACCACAAAAAGACCAAAACTGTACCGTAGTGCTACAGTACTTGCCTACCATAATACTAATATATGTTTGGCAATGCCGTACTTCTGTAAGCAGCATTGGCATTACCAAGTAGTCGCTAGTTGCTGCGGGACCAGCAACTAGCGACTACTGGTATTGCCAGCACTTTCACTCCCATGAAATAGATTTCATGGTGCATCAGTTTCAACTCTCATTTGTGGCAGGATTTGTTATTAATTCATAAATGTTAACTATTTGTGTTTGACTGAGAGACAAATTGCTAATGAATTAATATAAAGTTTAATATAAATCTTAGTGTTGCAATCTTCATTCTTGATTCTTTCAAGTGTACCGTAAAATGGGGTAACTTAGACCGGCAGGGTAACTTAGACCACTTTTCGTTTTTTTAACCCTTTACGCCCTGAATTTCTGGGACAAAAATCGTAAAATTCACTTTTTCGGTTTTAAGTCTCACTTCGAAGCTGACATTCTGACCTATCCAATGGTACCAAAATCATCTCTGTACGTTGATTTATGCCTTGACAACAGTTCGTGAAAGTGTTAGGGGTGGGGGAGTTCTTTCACATTTAATTTTAGGTGAAAATTACTGGTTTGGCACATAAATATGCAACCTGAAGATGCTGATCTTTAGTTACCCGGATGCTGTCGTGTGGGATGGTGCTCATGCAGTCGTTCCCACTATCCGACTGAATTTCGGCTCCAGTAATGTCTAGTCTTGCATCCATGTCACCTTGAATGCCTATTTCGAGGCGCTCGGGACTTTGTCGCGCTCTACTGAACATTCACACTTATTGTCACTGCAAACCTATTTCCTCCCAGAGTTTTCAAGCTACAGCAATGAGTAATTAACTGTTCAATTCGCAAATAAAAGATCTAGAGATTGGTCAAAGCTTTTTTTTTCAATTTCGTTGAAGTTTTGAAAATATTTTGAAAGAAGGGAAGGGGAAATTTGATAGGGTGGGGGGAGAAATAATTTTTTTTTTGAAAAATGCCCACCCCACCCACAAAAATTAGAATTTCAAAAAACAGCAAGGACCAATCGATAGATATGGTCCTTACGCATCAAATGATATGCGTCTCGATGTTGTAGCTTGAAAATCATAGGAGGAGATAGATTTCTACAGTACCCCCTTTTTGGCGGTTTTCTAAGAATTTCACATTTTCATTCACTTTTTTTGAAAAATCCCTATGAACAAAAAAGTCTTAGATTTATCTTTTACATATGTGTACCAAGTTTCAAAGTTATCTGTTAGTAAATAACCAAAATAGAATTTCCATAAGAAATTGGACATTGCCATTGGAAATTGGAAATTATATTCCGGTTATTTACTGACAGATAACTTTGAAACTTGGTACACATATGTAAAAAATAAATCTAAGACTTTTTTTATTCGTGTGAATTTTTCGAAAAAATGACAGAAAACGTGAAATTGTTGGAAAAGGTAGCTAGTCGCTGGTGTGACGAATTCGTCAAGCCAGGGCATAAAGGGTTAACAAATACCCCCAAAACTCAAAAACTATTTGACATAGAAAAATTTTGTCAATGGGCATTAAAGGCCTAATACTGAGGCTACATAACACAATAGAAATATTTAAAAAGTCTGCATATCTAATAGGTTAAAAAATTAAAAATGTGACCCACAAAAAAACCTATTATTTAAAGCCTGTCAGAGTACCCCCTCCAATTTTTTTATTTTTTGGTTAAATAACTCCAGGTTTTGATGCATTGTAGTAAGACTCTTCTAGTTACATATGCAAATGACAAATTTTAGGAAAGTGTCATAGTTTGCAAATGGGGGGCGCCGCCCCCAAATGGGGGAACTTAGACCACCTAATGTCAGCCCTGATGGGGTAACAGAGACCGGCTTGGAAGTTAATATAAAATTACCATATATAACATATTTTATGTTTGACAGCCTATTTATGTTTTTCTTCCTGTTTCAGACTCTACAGAGTCTTATATATGGTAATTTTAACTTAATTTCCAAGCTAGTCAATATTTACCCATCAGGGTTGCCATTAGGTAGTCACATTTCCCCCATTATGGGGCAGTGCCCCCCATTTGCAAACTATGACACTTTTCTCAAGTTTGTCATTTGCATATGTAACTAGAAGAGTTCTACTACAATGCACCAAAACCTGGAGTAATTTGGAGTTATTTTACCAAAAAGTATAATTGATTATACCACCCTGTCTAAGATACCCCAAGAGCTGGGGTAACAAAGACCATCACTTTTTTTGAAATTACATAAAGACTATGTGAGGCAGGAGCCGGCAATTTATGGTGAGTGAAGCTAGAGTATAGACCTGTATTTTGCATGTTTCAATTCAAGTTTAATTTAGCTAGTAAAAAATTGCATCATTTATAAAAAAAAGTGGTCTAAGTTATCCCATTTTACGGTAACTTTAATTCCTCCTATTTTTATCTTCTCAATTTTAACTGAAATTTTTATATAAAAAAGTTATGCTGGTGGATTGAAAATAATATATGAACCGTAATTCTAAGAATTCCATCCTGTCTGCAATCTGCAGTACTTCAACGCTCTTGCCAAAATATCCTGCAGAGTGCAGAACTCAGAAGTCAACTCAGAACATTTTTTTGAAGATCACATAGTTGTGGTTACGTTGCTGCCGGGTCTAGAGTGTCTCGTGCTCTAGGTGAGATAAACCTTATTTGACTAAATGGCAACAAGCCTACTCTGAATGAAGGAAAATGAAAGACTGATTCTAATGAAAAATGAATTAAAATATGGGACAGTAAATAAACACATAACTTGATAAAATTGCAAATGAAATGGTTGTTTAATTTGTAAAGTGTAATGAAAATGTGCTAATTAGTTGCATATAAGGAGCATGGACAGGTGGAGATGAGTAGATTTAACTGCAACCAGACAACAGAATAAAAATGCAAATCATAAATGACTGATAACCTGAGCAAAATATTAGAAATTCAAGAACCATTAACTCCCTTAAGGGATAGCAGCTTCTGTCCATGCTGTAACTATTAACATATGGAAATCTTTAGATAAGGTTTGAATAAAAGTAAAATACAAGGGAACATAAGCAAATGAAATTTAACTCATAAGCAATTAGCTGATCAACATCAATAAAATTGAAAAAATAACAAGGACAAAATTTAACCTAAATTATCAATGAATTAATGAAATGAATTCCTATGCCACTCACCAGTGCAACTGACTGCCTAGGCTGAGTAGAAATACTTCAAGTCTGGAAATTGTATTTTAGTCATCTACACTGTAAAAAATATAAATATTGAATATAATTTAAATTGAGTTGGATTGAGCACTGAATAAGTATGATAATTAGTAAAGAAAGACATGAAGGTTGGGCTACACATTAGCCTAATTCAACCTCCGGTAACAACGTCAAAGCAGTCAGACTGCATTATCACATGTTAAGTTCCACTGAAGTAAGGATAAACGTTATTGTAGCTGGTTGACTGTTTTAAGGGTAAAATTTGAGATTTTGGATAACACGTGCACAAGATTTGTAAACAAGTTCATGGCTTGTAAATGGCTTATCATGGCCAATGATGGTAGAGATATGGAATCATGGCTAGCAAATCCTTAAGACCATGGCTTGAAGAATCCAGTTGCAGCTCACAAAGTAGATATATTCCATGTCTCTTTGTATGTAATGATTAAGTTTAAGTGAAGTATTAACTCTTTACTGCCTGACTTATTGCCAGTTATGGGGAGCATCTGGGTCAAAAATTGCAAATTTTGATTTTTTGTGTTTTTATGATCATCACAAAGCTGACATTCTGACCTATCCAACGCTACCAAAATCATCTCTGTAATTTGATTTAATGTGTTCATGACAGACTGTGAAAGGGTTAAGTGTCATGAAGCTCTTTCACATTATGTTACAGGGAAAATTAGCAGGGTTTTTTCTTTTGCTCCACAAGTGGCTATAAAGCCATGTGCCCTGTTAAATAAAAGTTTCTATTGGGCTTAACTCGAATTTGTATTAATTGTCTTTTAGTGTTTAATTTTGTTCTTCCAACATAGCTCAATCTTTTTAAACTGCCTTTCCAAATCTTGTAATATTTGAGGAGCTGTGGTCAACTTAACATACATGTCCAAATAGCTCTAAAAACAAAGACCTCAACAAGAGTTTGCTTAACAGAACTTGTATGTTGAGCGAGGGAGTGGCTGAGGCTCAGCTGTTCAATTAAATGTCCACTGAGAATTATGGGATTTGGCTTGTAGGTGCAGGTTGTCAACCACTGATGTAAGTTCAGCTCTTACCTGATGGTTCAAAAACTTATTTTGTATATAGCAAGGTCCCATTTATATAGCAAGGTCTCATTTCAAAGGAGTTTTAGGAGAAGACAGTATTTTAAGAAGGTAAATCTTTAGAAATGAAAAATAATTTAATAGTGACTGTTACAGGTACCTTGCAAATGGCTACAAGTTGAGAATTCAAAAATGCCTGACAGTGTGCCATGGCCTGATATTTGCAAGTTTAACAGTTGCACTCAACTTGTATCGTGTTGTGCCTGATGATTTGTTCTACAGTTCCTGTTACTTGAATTTCCTTCAATGGATGCAGAAAAAATTGAAAGTAAGTTTAATTGATAAATTATCATCCTTCAAAGTTATTCCAATAGAATTTAAAAAATTTTTGCTGCATTAGTGTAACCATTGCATATTCAGTGAAACTTACATTTTAGCTAAAATTTCAAACTGTATTATAAGTAGATGCCTATGGAATTTTCTCTGGGTACCTATCAAATAGGTATTTCTCAATCATGAAACAAAATTTTAAGTTCAGTGTCATGTAACAGTGAACCATTTCCATGTTGCTGACTTTTGGAGTGACAGAACTGCTATGGCTAGTCTTGTACTATAATTCATCTGGATTTTCTCATTACACCTTGCATCCAGTGAAGCACTAAAATAACTTGGTACAAGAGCAAGCTAATAGTGCAAATTATTTTATTTCTCATGACACTTGCACTGTGAGATATTAAACTTATAGGGGGAAGTGTTCAATTTTAGAACCTGAAAAGTTTTTCTTGTTTTGTTTCCACAAGAGATGCATATAGGTAATAATAATAATAATACATTGACAGAGATGCTGCAGACATTCATGAAGCAGCTGATTGAGGTTGTGGAGACGTGCAAGGCTGAGGTGGAACAGCTGCCCCGTGGTCGCAGCAATGCTGAGGTTCAGCTTAAGATTGACCAGTCTCGGAGCCTTGCAATTAAGCTGGTGTCGTCCACCTTGCCTTCCGAGGATGAAATAAGTGATGCTTACAAGAGACTTGTGTTAGAAGCCTGGTTGAAGAAAGTTGCAGATGAGTGAGTGGTCTAAGTAGATTTTTACTCAGTTGTTCATCTCAGATTAGTTGAGAGCTCATATAATTTCATGCATTTCATATCAGTGCAGCCTAATGCATGTTGATTGAGAAGAAATTATTAATGCCTGATTATTATAAATAATATCATGAAATATGCTCAGTCTTGAATATTTTGTTTCAATTCATCCATTGATCATTGATGATAAATTTTGATAATAGACATTGACTGGTTGACAATACACTAATTGGACCTTTATCTATTATTATTCTGATAACTTTGAACATAACTTCAGGCAATAATTTCATAATTATTGGTTTACTTTATATGACATTATTATTTTCCCTATTTTAAGAGCAAAATAATTGGTCATTTATCAGCTGTCATATCTCATTAAGGTAGACTGTTGGATGCCTAAGATAAAACCACTAAAATAAAGTTATCTTTGTAGGGCTGACTCTCACTGGTGCTTCAACCTGCTTGGCTTTGAAGCATGCATCAGCCACCTCAGAAATTTTGCTAGTGAATATGCCATAAGTTTGTATTCAAAATTCATAATTTTGCTGGATGAAGATGCGTCAAGTGGTGCCGCTCAAAGTAAAGCTTCATCTGAGGCAGTGTCGACCTTGGCTGCTGTGCTGGCCACTTTTAAAGTGACTTTAAACTTTTCTAAGGAGAAAAATGCCTCCAATGTGTCTGAGCTTGCCCCGGTGAGTGAAGTGATTTGTTGATGGACTAATTTGTGTGTTCTTATTAATCTGAGCATGGAAAAGATTATTATGTGAACCAAACAGAAAGTTGTTTAAATATTGTGTAATTAGATAATAGTACTTTACCTGTTGGTCTATGCATGTTGTATGGCTGTAAAATAGTACTGGGGATGATTTATATCCAAATAATCTGATATGTTGTCACTTACAGTTGTTTTACCTTGAAATAAAATCAAAATGGGAATTACTATTTAGTTGAGTGAGTACCTTCATGTATTCAACTAAGATTAAATTTGTTATTAAAGTTAACATTTAATTGAACAAACTATACAAACTAAAATAGAATATAGATCATCTACCTGAGCCCCCATTTCTACAAGCTCTGCAAGTTTGTACACGTCAGGAATGACTGTCCGAAACAAGCAATTTTTCTTATTTATTTGTGGCAAGGTTTAATGAAATGATGATGGCAGTTGGAATGGCTGAGAAAGTATCATGGTTACTCACTTATTCAGGCATGAATTAAAACCACACTCTCATTGATAACATTGTTGTTCTCTGATCAAAACATTGAAGCAAATTCTGTGTCTGCCTCGGTCATCTTGTAGTATCCTAATCCTTTCTACCTCATCTATTTTGATTTTTTGATTTAATTACTTGGGATACTTAAACGTGAATACCGTAATACTCTTACTATTATTGACTAGGATATCAGTGGAGCAGAAGTCGACTGTACTGTGTGCAGCAATATGGTGTACATGTCACTACAGTAACATAGATCTTCATTGTCCCCATATGGTGACAGCGTGTACAGGCAGCCGTGTGCCGGTGCGTCCTACAGTTCGGCTCCTCCAGCTTGATCTTGTCGCGCCTCAGCGCCCTCCTGCTGCAGTGCCCTGCCTTCATCCCCACCGACCCTGGCGAGGGGGAGAGGCTTGATCTCCTCCTTATTGAAGCCGTTGCTAACCTCACCCGCATACATGTCAAGGTTCATATAACCTCACACTTATTGTGAGATTTGATTTCGATGTTGTTAGAGTTTGTAGTGTCTAATTTATGTTTAATATTTTGATAGCCCAATATTTATTTGTAAGCTCTAGTTTTTTCGAGTGCAGCGCGTTTCGTAGACAGAGAGTGAAATAAAGTAAATAATTAGTGTAAATCAGTTTTGTATCATTGACGACTGACTAATTATTATAACAAGATCTTTTGGAGTCAGATCACAGCAGAAGAGTTTTTAACTCGTGAACACCGGAATTGCGAACTGAGGTCGGGTAGATCCTGCATAGCAATTCAAGATTCAACACTTATCTTCATAACAAATCTATTAATAATGCAAGTACTTCATAAATACTTCAAAATGTGCTTCATTGTAGTATATATGTATAATTATTGATGCAGGCTGGTGTAAATATCTTCTTTGAATAGTACAAAAATAAATGTGTAGTCTGCAATTTCTGATGTGTTATGTTGATACTGATGTGTTACTATGTTGATACTGATGTGTTGAAACTGTTTGAATTGCTAATTTTCTCACTAATTTTCTTTTGCATTCTACAAACCTGATATGCTTTCATGGGTCTAAATTTTCATTTTCATAAATTGAATTTTTAATGAATTAGAAGAGCTGTCTTATTGTCTCATGAACTCGGAAATCTTACATAATTTATGACCATTGACATTGATTTCTCACTCCATTCGCGGAATACATTTGCATTTGCTGTAATCAAGCTGTTTTAAAGAGTTGTTAAAGAATTTGTTGCCACTCAATTAGAATTTGCCTTCACCAGCTGTTCTTGACTTTTAAAAATTTTTTTTGCGTAATGTTATCAACAAAAGCAAACAATTCAGATTACAAAGACTACATAACTGCTGAGAGGTCATAAGGTAATCTCCCTCAATGGAGTTTCTTAAGCGCCTTAAAATTACTTGAATTTAGTTTTCAAATTGATTCTGCTTTTCTTATAGGTTTTGAACGTTTGAACTGACAATGGAGCTGGACTCCGAAACGTTTTCATTCTTAAGAAATGGTTAATATTCTGGCTGTTTTCTTTGCTTTTAAATTCCTGATTAACTTGCGATTTAAGCAATCTAGTAATTTTATGAATTTAAGTTTGTCATGCATGAAAGGTTTTATATCTTAACTGATTGTCCTTATCTCTACAGACCATCGACCACATGACCAACATCTGCAACCTCATCTACTACATATGGAACTACTCCTCCCTCCAGCACATATTCATGTCACTAAAATCAATTTATGCTATTATTGCCAACCGCAGTAAGTATACACGGTATATATTTTTTGTAATTATTTACTATTGGATCTAAACTGTATAGTCACTACATATTCATACTTGATTCATAATTTACTCGATATTTGTTCAATCATTACTCATCTTGATTAGTTATTATTTCAACAACTTTTGAATTTTACTCGTTAGATTTTCACACAATTGTCTACCTTGAGCCATGCATGTATTTTAAAAACATTCTTAACTCCCATTTTATTTGTTGGCTTCAATGGACTGTAAATTGTATTGCTGGACCATAGAACATGTATTGCTGCCATATAGAACATGTATTGGACCATAGAACATGTATTGCTGTTGCCGTGCTGAACTTCAGATCAAGTAGAACATGTATTGCTGTTGCCGTGCTGATCTTCAGACCAAGTAGAACATATATTTCTGCCACCGGGCTGATCTTCAGACCAAGTAGAACATGTATTGCTGTCGCCGTGCTGAACTTGAAGTATTTATATATAATGTCCAGTGTCCACACATCAATCTTAGTAATTTATTTAATACTTTCACCACCTTTTATTTTCTAGAGTTCTCCAGCTCAGGTGCACCCACTAAAGTGATTATTGTGGATAATTGCGCTACTTGTTATTTGAAGAGTTATCTTGCTCAGGCCCCACGTCGCACCTGAGTCCCGCGCTGGCTCATGTGCTAACATTTGTCCCGGAGAAGATTGTGCGCACCCTCGCGCCGCATATCCTGGTCATGCCAAGCTGTAACTCACACCAAAACTTCAAGGTGAGTCATTGTCGTCAAGTCTCGTAGAGTGACTCATGAATATTCTAGTAATTGACATCGTCATCAAGTCTCGTAGAGTGACTCGTGAATCTTCTAGCAATTGACGGGGTGGGTGCTCAAGTGATGCGCTTTTTTTATTTATTGTTACACTGAAGCACAGTGGTAGGTGTACCAAGATGAGGGATGCTAACCGTGAGTTCAAGCCTTGGGAATCTAAGTTTAATTCTCAGTGTCGATGGTGAATGATGCTTGATAAACTTCTAGGCTGATGCTTCAGCATGGCCTTGGGTGGTGCCCAGAAACGAGCCCTCGGTACATGTTACATGGAGGGATATTAAGGTCTCAAGGCCTATTGTTTGTGGGACCAAATATGATACCTCCTGACATGGCATTAGGAACTCGATGAATCTTTGCTTTCATCTCTCAACGAGGCCCAATTTGGTGACCTGTGAATGAAAAATGAAGCAATCAGGTTATCAGACTGATGGAATGGCTTGTAGTTCTCATTTCTATCTCTAAGTCTTGTTCCATACGCTAAGTCTTGTTCCCTGTGCTGCAGAACACGCTAAGTCTTGTTCCATGTGCTGCAGAACACGCTAACTCTTGTTCCCTGTGCTGCAGAACACGCTAAGTCTTGTTCCGTGTGCTGCAGAACACGCTAAGTCTTGTTCCCTGTGCTGCAGAACACGCTAAGTCTTGTTCCGTGTGCTGCAGAACACGCTAACTCTTGTTCCCTGTGCTGCAGAACATGCTAACTCTCGTTCCGCGTGCTGCAGAACACGCTAACTCTTGTTTCGTGTGCTGCAGAACACGCTAACTCTTGTTTCGTGTGCTGCAGAACATGCTAAGTCTTGTTCCCTGTGCCGCAAAACGCGCTAACTATTGTTCAGTGTGCTGCAGAAAACGCTAAGTCTTGTTCCGTGTGCTGCAGAACATGCTAAATCTTGTTCCATGTGCTGCAGAACACGCTAAGTCTTATTCAATGTGTCACAGAACACGCTAAGTCTTGTTACGTGTGCTGCAGAACATGCTAAGTCTTGTTCCGTGTGCCGCAGAACATGCTAACTCTTGTTCCGTGTGCTGCAGAACACGCTAACTCTTGTTCCGTGTGCTGCAAAACACGCTAACTCTTGTTCTGTGTGCTGCAGAACATGCTAAGTCTTGTTCCGTGTGCTGCAGAACACGTTAAGTCTTGTTCTATGTGCTACAGAACATGCTAAGTCTTGTTCCGTGTGCTGCAGAACATGCTAAGTCTTGTTCCGTGTGCTGCAGAACACGCTAAGTCTTCTTCCGTGTGTTGCAGAACACGCTAAGTCTTGTTCCGTGTGCTGCAGAACACGCTAAGTGTTGTTCCATGTGCCACAGAACACGCTAAGTCTTGTTACGTGTGCTGCAGAACATGCTAAGTCTTGTTCCGTGTGCCACAGAACATGCTAAGTCTTCTTCCGTGTGCTGCAGAACACGCTAAGTCTTGAAGGCACACGACGTCTTGTGTGATTCACTTGTTCCGTGTGCTGCAGAACACGCTAAGTCTTGTTCCGTGTGCTGCAGAACACGCTAAGTCTTGTTATGTGTGGTGCAGAACACGCTGTTCCGCCTCTGTATCTGGATGGGTGGTTGGCCTGCGGCGCGCGAGACGCTGGTCTTGTGGCAACGCACTATCGTCCAAATCATGACCCAGAACGGCATGATGCACATCGTCCAGGAGGTCGCCATCGAAGTTGTCCCTAAGGTTAGCAGACATATTCGTAACCTATTCTAAATAGTTATCACTTTTCATCCATGTTCCAAGTATTAGAATTTCCAAAATTTATTCAGCTCCAAATATTGAATTTTAGAAATCCTAACGTTTTGATTGTGTTTATTTGGTTGGGTCATTTATTCATGTACTTAGTCTGGATCTAGTATAAAACTTGGTCAATTTGTAGGTTTGAAATTCTTAAATCAGTTGTTATGTGTGCCATTGTAATCGATATTAAAGATCACCGATAGATTATTTGTGAATGTGTGGCTGAATATAAAAGGGACTGAACTCCTCAATATCTATTATTCTCAGCGATTCCCTCAAAAACCTGAAATGAAGTGAGAACAATATATTAGAATATTAGCCATTACCTCAACTCATGTTGTTGTATCAGAGCAAAAGATGCGGCTGTAATGTTATTTTGTATCGTGCAGCTGATGAACCTCATGCGGTTGCCTGCGATCAGAGATAATCTGCTGGACGCCATCGCGTTGCTGCTCGTCTCGTGCCAGAGTAACTCCGATGCTTACCGCAAGGTTCGTCCATTGCTTTTGATATCCCACTTCAGACCTAAGCTTATATTCAAACAAATTATCTGACACTAAATGACATCAATAGACCTATAATATATTGGGTCTACGCTTTTTCTTGTACGCTGATTATTTAGCATGCCTGAACTGTGAAAATTCAATATAATCCTATGAAATGTGGTTGGGGATTTATGATCCTTTTTTCATCTTCGTTGGTCTAATTGGGTTTGCTACGGTCATCTTTCCAAGCATTTTGATTGTGCAATTCAAATATTTCATGTGTCATTTATTTCTGATAATTACATCTTACTAAGTTCGTTATGAATATTCGTTTATTACCTCATCCATTATCCTTGAGTTGTATTAGTTGCGTTAACACGTTCGTTACCTGTCCAATGCAGCATTTTTGTTACAAGGCTCTCCACTAGACTACGGAGTTCTTCATGTGACTCAGTTAAATACGTGGTCACTGTTGTAATTGAGCTGCTGCTAAAGTTTCACTGATTTACCAAACTTTTGTTCAGTTGCGTGGTTTTCATGATTACTTGTGATCGTTTGCTGAAGACGTATGACCAGCGTGAGAGAGAAATAAAAGTTGAATTTTTAGTATTTGTTTCCATTTGACTATTGTTTCCAATCTAATCCTATAGATCTAATGTGATTGTGCAGTGTTTCAAGTGGCTGTTGCTGTGGGGCGACATGCTGAAGGCTGAGGACCTGGCTCATCCTAAGCCATTGCACGTCAAGTTTTCCATGATGTGCCTGGCGCTGGTCAACCTGTTTCCTGACTGCCACGACCTCAATGACAAGCTGCTGGACCTGATAGCGGTGAGTTGCCTCTACTTAACTCTTACCTCAATGACAAGCTGCTGGACCTCATAGCGGTGAGTTGCCAGATGAATTGAGAATGGAGTTACACAAACTGCTGGACCTCATAGCGGTGAGTTGCCTCTACTTAACTCTTACCTCAATGACAAACTGCTGGACCTGATAGCGGTGAGATTCATATGAAACTCTTGTCTGAGATTCATGAACCATGACAATGCTATTCGTATCCAAAGTCCTGGTAACGTGAATTACTAGCAGTTGATGAAGAGTTGAACTTGTAAATTCCATGCAAGTGCTCTCCGGCTCCCGTCGCGCAAGAATGGATCTTCTCCTTAAATCTTACTTGTTCATATTCTACTCATAACACTAAATTTTTTTATTCCATGCGAACATTGTTGGGTAAGTATGTAAACTGCAATATCTATGTAAACTGTCAATATGTATGATTGCAATATATTCTTGAATGTTTATCATTGAGATATTCCTTTTTTACAGGAATTCCCAGTGCACGACCACAGCGCCGTGCTGCAGTTCATTGAGGACCACGACTGGGCACGTCACGCGCCCACCGCTGGCGTCAACGCTACCAAGGGACTCGACGCCCGCACCAGCAGCCTGGCCGACCTCAGCGTCGCTGCCGCTCAGGAGGACCAGCATCACGCCTATTCGCCCTCGCAGGTCGCTGCACCTGCTGCATTGCTGTCTCATTGCTGTCTCATTGCTGTCTCATTGCTGTCTCATTGCTGCTGTATTGCTGTCATGGCCACACATAGCTTCACTCAGCAGAGATGTCCCTGTTGATAGTAACGCCCTACCGCAGTTATCCTTTTGGCGTTCTCAGTATTATTATTATCATGTGGTTCGATGTCGGGTATCTCAAGTTCGTTTGGACTATCGTTAGTATACCGTTTACGCGCCTATTCATTGCATTCTAATTCTAGTTTTCCCAGTCCTTGCAATAAACTTCCGTTGAATAATCATAGTAGATTACCTCGTGAATGCATCTGTAAAATTTATCTCTGAGTCGAAATCTCTAAATACTTTAATCATTTTATTATTGCCATTTGCATTTTTCTCATTTGTTGTTTGATTTTTGCAGACGGAGCTGCCCGATGAGAGCATCGTGCCGCGCGTGAACCGCTTGCCGGCGGGCATTGACAACATAGGCTCGACGTGTTACTACAACGCCATCATTCAGGCGCTATTTGGCACCGATCCGTGAGTGATGTATGTCTCAGGACAGTTCAAGCCACGAGTTCTCTTGCACTTCAACTCTTTGTCTACAGATACATTAAATAACGTAAATGCTGATCTTACGCAAAGGCCCTGGACCAAAAGGTCCCGTTAGTTCACAAAGGGTTAACAAATTAGCAATTCCCCCGAATGAGTTCGGAATATGCTAATAATTCTATAAATGCTTTCAAAATTGAATTCAATTTACTTTTAGTTCAATACTTTTTAAACATTAGCCTGAAAAAGGGTTCGAAATGAACTGGGATTAAACATTTCTACAATTTTTATACTCAACTTTGTTTGATTCAGGTTTCGTCACGCTGTCGTGACGTCGCAGGACTCCTTGTGTGCCACTCACGAGACGCTGCAGGAGCTGTTCTCGCTGCTGCTCTTTACAGAACAAGCCTCCATTGAGCCCAGCAAAGCTATGGTCACCACCGTCGCGCCCGAGTACTTCGAGCCTGGCCAGCAGCACGACGCCTCAGAGTTCCTTGGGTCAGCTCCAGTCTATTGCAATCTAGAACGATAATAATGGCTGTATGTTTATGTGCTCAAATCATGCCACTGTTATATTACATTGTAACGAATATATTGAGGAGGATCTTTAGAGACTTCATCTCGAACTTAGCTTTGTGAGCGGCCACATCTCCCGGCTTATATATCAGGAATGTCGCCTGCCACAATAGCTCTTATATAATTCATTGCCTGAATATGTATCGCAAGTTTATGACATTGTTGGATTAAATTATTTGATGGTCTTGTCTACGAATACTGATTTACAACATTCCTGCAGGTAAAATATATTAGATTTTTTTGTCAATTTGTTTTGCTTTTTTCAGGCACTTGCTGGATTCTTTGAAAGAAAGCGAGAAAGAGTGTTTAAAAAAATCGTATGAGCGACATCTACGGATGGATGTCAGTCAACAAAACAACATTTCAAAGGACGCCTCGAATTCTATCACATCAAGAGATGACAACAGCATCAGTCGCTCTGGTGATCATTTTGGAGAGGAGAGCAACTCTGTTGAAGTGGACAATCGTGATCCCGACAATGCAGATGAGAATCAGAACAAATTTTGTAGCTCAGTGTCAAGTTCTGTTCGTAACGGGCGACGAGACAGCGCCATTGACAGCGCTATATTCCACCCCGACGAGACGATGGAGACCAACTCCCCGGACAGTTCCATGCCCTCCAGCAAATTGGAAGGTTACAAGACTGATAGTTACCTAAACTGCGACCTAACTAGTCGAGGTGACAGCGAGAGTAGTCGAAATTGTGCTGAGGTTTTCCGATTTACAGACGTGAAACAAAATACTCAGAAGGACGGCTCGAGTTTTACCGAATTTTTAGAGGGCAGTGATGATATTCATGATGTAGTTAGCAGCAACAGTGGAGGCCACGCAGAAAGTATAAAAATTGGTCATGAAATTGAAATGGGTTCAGTAGAGACTTGGCTTGAAAGTAGCCCCAATAACGGCTTTCGTAGGGGCAGTAAAATCAAGAATGTGCAAATAAATGAAACCGGCGAAAACATACTTGCCCGCAGCTTCAATGAGACGTGTGTTGCCGCGCTGTTGACTCCTGACGTAGAACAAGCTGACGAGAAGAGCACGGCGGCAGTGAAGTGTGCGTCAAGTTCACGCGCGGCTTCTCGTAGACATGGCGGTCGCCGCCACTCAAGTCCCAAACGAGGGGTGCGTGAAAGACGCTGCGACTCCTCCGATATTGAGGAAAAGTACAGCAGTCCGGAGGTGCAAGCTGCGAAGAAAGTTAAAGCGAACCTTACGTGTTCAATGGAAGCCTCGAGTGGAGAAAGTTTATGGATGGATCATTCAAGTGTGCTTGATGTTTCTGTGTTGCGTAAAGATTCAAGCAGCTCCGGTCATGTACATTTGAATACTTCTGACGAAGCGGAAGCTAAAGACTCCCAAAACAGTATTATTTTTTCTTCCTCCAGCAGTGGAGGGCACGACGAGACTTCTTCTGGTTACAATGCGAGTGCCGAAACTTGCTCCAGCCTCGGTGTGAGTGTAGAGGTTGAGAAAAATTGCACCTCGCTCCCTGATTTTGTACCGGAATACTGCCACGATAGTCTTGAGCTCGCCAATGATAACTTGAACCTCGTTAATGAAGATGGTCGTACACTCAGGAGTACTGGGAAGTTAAGAATTTCAATAGGTGACGACCATCCAATAAGTCTTCCTGATGACGCCGAACGACGCTGCGCTGCTGAAGCGACATGTGATGCTGATGGTCATCAAGACCCCAGCTTATTCCTCATGGGAAATGAAGAGTCCGCCCTCATACGTAGCCAGCACAGAGAGCCAAGTGAATCCAACAGTATTAACGACGTGTTTATGAGCGACGTTTCAGCGCCAGTAGACGAAACTTCTAATGCGGTTACTGGTGACGGAGCCTCAGATGACAATTCCGACAGTGGCATCAGCATTCAGGATGATTTAGCCAACAGCGGCCTGGATACTGCGTCCACTGTCGGTGGTGTCACTGAGGAAGAAGTCGACGTTGATGAAGAGTTGATGGAAACTTTGCCCTCCGCCGAAGACGAGGCTGCACCTGGACCTCTCTGTGAGGAGGTTGATTCAGTCGACGAGCATTCCTCGGACGCCCTGCAAACTTTGGTCGAGAACATTTTTGGAGGCCGGACAGTGCGTCTAACTCACTGTCTTAAATGTCATTGTATTTCAGAAAATTATGATGATTCATTAGATTTGAAAGTGTCTTTCGAAGATTGCCCCGAAAAAAGGAATAGTATTGTGTCACTTGATATATTAATCAGTCATTCGTTGAAGAAACAAGAACTATCAGGTTCTGAACAATATTTCTGCGAGACCTGTGATAGTAAGCAAGACGCCGAAATTCACACGGCCATAGTTAAAGCCCCTGAGTTTCTTATTTTAGCTCAAAATAGGTTCATTTACAACAGTTCGACGAATGAAGAAAGTAAAATTCTAACGCGAGTGGATTTTGAGGATCACCTCGAAGTGCCTGTTTGGGACGTAGCGAGTCTCAAAGAATGCATCAGGTCCGCGCCTCAACAATCTCTGGGCGACAATCATTCGATTTTGTTACCGCCCATTGATGGACCGACAACTAGTACGTCTGACGACGAGAGCAGTCTTGTGAGTTCGTCTCATCCTGATACAATTATTACGTCGTCACTGCATGACCGAACAGAGAAACTTTCTCTTAACTTATCGGACGTTTCTCTCCCCGACCCCGCTTCGTTGCCAATGGAAGTCGACAACGATTCAGGGGAACATTCTTGTGATCAAAATGTTCTTGACTACGATAGTAAATTTGATACCTTACACGAACCCAATGGCTTGAATGATAATGATTTACCGTTAAAAAATACGTCCTCCGACGTTGTCGAGCGCCTTACTACCGAAAACAATCACGAGACCACGACGAACTCCATTGAAAGAGAAGCAACTTTGAATGTCAAGATTTCAAACGTTGTTGCAGCCTCTAGTGAGGTGAAGAATGTATCCAGTGAATGTAATGGTTCTGCAGCATGCAAAAATAACTACGATAATATGTTCCGCGACTTTGACTCGCAAGTCATCGAAAGGCCATCAGTAAGTCCGGATGAGAGAAATAGTTCAGTTGAGAACGGTTCTGTTCTTAAGCCGTGTCATGAAAGTGAAATGGACTCGTTAGAATCTCCAGACCAAGCTACCGCCCCGGGACCAGAATCGAGCCCCAGGGAAGATTCTGTATCTCAAGCGTTCAAATCCTTAGCTGCAGAGCCGGCAAACAGCTGCGAGCACCCCGGATTTGTCAAGGAGCGCTACGTTCTTTACGCCATCGTCGTCCACTCCGGCAAGATCAGTCGTGCTGGTCATTACTATTCCTACGTCAGAAGCTCATCTGCAGCCGTGGCTTCAAGTATTGGAACTGAATCTGCATCTCTCACGTAAGAATCTCTTATCACTTTTTGTGCACTGCTGATACACCTGTTAAATCAGAGACCCTGTTCTTTTCACAAATTATTACTACTTCAATATCCTTTTGCGCGGTACGGGAGATGTTAACGTTAATTTTTTTCCTTTTTTATTTTTAATATCCCTGGATAAGTCGAGTCAGCATTGCTGCAGAAGTCTGGGATGCTTAATTCCTATTATTACCTTGTAATCGGGGATAACATCATATTCATGTGTTGCTCTGCCGCTGTGTTCCTGGCAGGTTGGATACCTCGTATGTCATTATTGCCATCATAGACGCTCCTCCCGGCGAGCGAAGGGTTAACTGTTTGCACAGTTCGCCACCTTCTCGTGTGCTCTTCCCCACTTATAGACCACTTCTCGCGTGCTCTTCCCCACTTATACAGACCATTTCTCGCGTGCTCTTCCCCACTTATACAGACCACTTCTCGCGTGCTCTTCCCCACTTATACAGACCACTTCTCGCGTGCTCTTCCCCTCACTTCCCCACTTATCCAGCCGTCATCTCTGTCTTATATTAAGCACCAAATACGTGTCATGTAACAGCATAGTTTCTAAGCAGACTACAGTAAATGACGCATTTTACCGCACTACAATCAACTTATTAAATTGCGGTAGAACGATGTATTTCTGTCGAAAATGCTTTTGATTTGTTTTTAAGGTATTTCTACACTGTTTGGTTTCTACTAGGAATTATTAGGATTTACTTATTAAATTTTGTTTTATAATTGTTCAATATCCATTCCAGCCAGCAACTTGTCCTATTGAGCCGGCGACTCAATGTCTTTAATGATACAATGTATGGCCATGGTTGAAGCTATATGTAGCGTTTTTCTAATCGATATGTATAATACAACTTTGAATTGCAGCAATAATTAGCATAAATCCTTTACGGCGGGTTTTCCTGGAGTTGAATATGCCTTCGATCTTTAGCATCAATTCGCTGATCATTGCAATGATGTACTTGCAGACGCGGTTGTGGTTGGGCGGAGCTCAACGACAGCAAATCATACTCGACGAGTTTCAGGGAGATCAAGTCTTCCCTCACTGGCAGTGCTAGAGACTGCGCCCCATACCTTATGTTCTATCAGAAGGTGAGGAGTGGCCGAGTCCGTCTCTGTATTGCTTAAACTCATGGCGATGTCAATGAGAATTTAGTGACCAACTATTTTACCGTTCATATACATCCATTTATGTGTTCAGTGATATTTTGATGTTATTAATTTATGTGTCATGTTTAGTTCGCGCGTTTTCTGTGTGGCTGAGCTTGTTGGCACTGACTTCTATTGATAATTTCAATATGAATGATTGTTTTTTTTTTTCGTATAAAGGTATCTGACAGCGCGGTTACGGCACCAACTCGAGTAGAGGAAGACCTGAAGAGCCTTCCACAGCACCTTCAGGAGGTGGTGCGGCGCCACGTGCACCGCCACCGCCAGAAGGACAGTCACACACGCCGCCTCAACAGCAGCCACAACACCGACGGCAGCGCCGGAGGAGGTTCCCCAAGAGGTGGTGGTAAAACCACTGGCTGTGGAGGAGGCTCGGCTTTGGATGTCGTTAGGTTTATTTATTAACGCGGTCTGCTTTAGGACGAACATGAAGCTGCTGTCAGTGAGTTTCAAGTGCCTTTTGTTATAAGAGACTCGATATTTTCTTTGTATATTGAGCTCATCTTCTATTTTCTAACTTAGATTTTTTACTTCTTTCTAATTTGTTAGTTCATAGAAAAACTAAGTCATTTATTTCCTGGTCAAAACTCGGTGCAAGTTTGAGTTTCTTACTGAAGCAGGGAATTCAGGTAATTAATATAGCAACAAGCGCGCCCGTAGCATGTACTCGGACCTGGCATTCAAAGCCGTCGTATCTAAGGTTTTGAGACAGGGTGTCCATGCTCTTGCTGTCGCTTGGTCGCTTGTGTTTCTTGAAAGCCGTTAAAGTTAATTTCTATTAATCTCGCGCTTTGACTCGTTGTAGAACCAACCTCATTGCTGGGCGTCTTTTGACTGCTTGAACTCTTGACCAATATTTGTATGTATTTACTTATTATTCATAAAGATTCCCGGAAGGTCATTGATATCACGTTCGAATATACTTTATGAATAAACCAATGAGAAATAAACGTAATAAATTTAATAAACATAGTAATTTGCGGACGGTTCTGACTGAAAACTTGTCATTGGCCAATCCAGGTCCTGGTCTGTATTGCAGTTCTCTAGCAACATTAACGAGTCTCTGGCAGTGAACGTCAAGTAGATCAATATTTGCGACGTCATTGGAAGTTCTTGCGTTGCTGATAATTACTTCTAGCTGCCAAGCATCAGTGAAAAATTATTCAAATTTTCACGCTTCGTTTAATAATTATTGAAAGTTTCAGGCGCCACTTATCAATTCGAAGTTTCATGGGTTTTTGAATATTCATTGAAAGTTTCATACGGCAGTGAACTTTAATTTGAATTTCCATTTCCTTGCGAACTTTAATCTGAAGTTGTATTTGTTCTCTGGTACTTATTTGATAATGTTGCGAAAAACCATCGCACATTCTACCCAAGATCGACCATCTTTCATGCCAGCTTGACCTCAGTTCTTGTCTGCTGGTTTGACTTGACTCTCCGTCCTCTCACTGTGCCCGAGCTTAATACACGTTCTATCACGCGCCACTGACAGAAATATTCATCTTAACCTAATACAAAATTTAAAATCGTAATTAAATGACGGACACGTTCGATTCTAGTGAGCCATAACATAGTTTATTAGACCACCTTATGAATATTTTCAGCTACACTTTAATGCCTGTAGTCATCGCCGTTGCTCTGTAGTGTTCTCCGTCCACCTATTGGTCGCAGTATCTTGTCAGTCCTGGTTGTAAATGAAGCTTAACTCCGGTTAGCAAGCTCATACAAATTGATCGTGTATAAAATATTTTCATTTAATGCAGCCAACTTGTCGTTGGTGGCCCGATCGTGAGTTTAATTTAATGTTGCCTTAACATAGGAGGTGCTCATGTGAGTTACTGATAAGAACTGAGCTTGAGTTGCCACATCTTCTTCGCCGTGTTTAAGAAGTCCACTTACGACAAGGCCCATGTGACAACGGGCTCACCTAGGGGCGGGCTAGCTAGACCATGCGTTTTGTTAATTACAATTAGACATTTTCTGGGTTCATATTCTTATATGGTTGTTTTTCTTTGCATAAATGTCTTCCTTCGCGATGAATCTATTTTAAGTCTCACAAACTACGGGCTTAGCACGTTAGGAATTTTGGAATGTTCGGCAGTGCGGAAGTCTGTTTCTTAATATCTGGGGCGCCCAGTCGTCAGGTCTCGTCTGCCTGGAACCGCTGCTTGTGTTCACAATCGTAGCGGGATAGTGGAGTCATTGTGATATTTTTCTTAGGATTAATTACTTGTAATCGGAACACATTTAGCTTTATTTCGTTCGGTATTTTTTTTTTGTCGTGTCGAGTGGGTGTCATGAACTCTTAGCATGCTTGTGATAAAAATGCTCTGCGATCTTTGAAGGAATTTGTAAGGAATATTTTTTGATAGAAATTTTCTCTCCATCCGCCTTAGCGAGTCAGGGCCTTCTTTTAATATTTCACGTTTGATTACAGGACTTGAATTGTCCCTCAATATGTTGGGTAAAGAACATGTGGTACTTTTTTTTTTCTCAACAAGATTTGTGCGAAGATGCCAGCTAGATACGCGCGCGGTTCTGCACTTTCGCTGGCAGCGTTGCTCTTCACGTAAAACTCGGATGAATCTTAGTTTACTGTCTGTTCGAACCTACGGATGTCTGTGTATTCTGTATTTTAAATGTAATTCTGGTATATATGTCCAAATAAATATTTTCTATTTTGTTGTTAGTACTTAATCAGTTTCCTCGTCGGAATTTTCTAAGGCCAACATAAAGAATGTTATACTTTCTGTATGATCAAAAAATGCACATTCAGGGGATCTAATAATTAAATCAGGAATAAGCAAAGTGAAAACCTTCAGGGGGCGATAGATTCAGTGAATCCATCGCTCAAGGGACTGCCGCGCTCCTTGGGATTCCTGAGCGGAAGCTATTTTTTCTATTTTTCAAGTTATAAATAACTATTCACATTTAATTCCAAGTGACACACTGTGAAGCAATGGCATAACACGTTTCCAGAAGAAATATTTATTACAAATAAAGGCCACTTTTAACGTCCTTCCTGAGGCTCCATCGCTTCAGGAACGGATGAAGTTGCTATTAGTTTGGTGGCAATGCTCTTGTAGATGTCGGCAATTGGAGAACTTGCAAATTTCTCCATGAAGTTTTGGCCCGTCTCGGCGCACTGACACAGATTTGGCTCGATGGGAACTCGGCCGAGGAAAGGCAAGGACGACTTGGCGGCAAAAGATTCACCTCCTCCCCACGCCAGGATATTGCTACACTCCTGCACACGTGAGAAACTAGGCGTTAATTGGGAGCTAAACTTCATGTGAGCGGGTGCAGGGCATTGTCGGAGAAAGAAGGTACACACGTAATCACTTTCGATGCTTGTACAAGTGAATGACAGACTAGTCTATTATTTTTTCATTTTCATAACATAATTCAAGAGACCATTCATTATCTTCTATTTTACCAAACTAATGTTATCAAAGCATGGGAGCAGCTCATAGTTTCGCACACCATCTAAAATATAATTAAATTCTTGCAACTACGTATAAGTGGTTCAGTAAATGCACGCCAGAGCCTCATTTTGCGCAGACCGAACAGTGCGGACACACGTAGCCCGCCATGTTCTCCAGGACGCCCAGGACGTTGAGCTGCGTCTTCTGACAGAAAGTGAGCTCCCGCGTGACGTCATCCACGGACAGCAGCTGAGGGGTCGTCACCAACACAGCTCCTCTCACTCGCGCACCTCTAGCCGCAACGAAATTTCAGTGTCTTAGTTACAGTAAGAAGTACTTTAATATTCTTATTTCATTCTGGATGCATACATGTTCAGAATTGCATCAGCTCAAAAGAGAGACATTTTGGTCTTCGCTTACCTGATATTTTCCATAACTGAGAGATGCTCATCAGACGTGCCCGGTGGTGTGTCGATCAATAGGTAGTCCACATCCCAAGCCACGGTTGTCAGTAACTGTTTAATCATGGCTAGAAGAAAGAATACATGCTTACTTTATGTATGAGATGAGAAAGCTTTTGTTTAAAATGATAAAAAATGTCTTTATAACTAAAAAATATTAATGAAATTCGCAAATTATTGAGCAGTGGCTCAAGCAATGCCTTTGATACTACAATATTTCTGCATAAATTTTCACTGAATAATAACATTAAATTAATGTGACATACGAGTAAACTCAACCAACATAATGGATCCAAACATCAGCTGCATCAATTTGTTCAAGTCAATTGGCAATCACTTACCATTCTTTTTTGGTCCTCTCCAAATAACTGCATCTTTTTTTGAGTTGAGAAAGAATGCTATGGATACAACGCTCAGTTTTTTTTCGGAATCCACCATCACAGGAATCCATTTACTGTCGTCCACCAAAACACGATAGTTTTAATTTTTGTAACAGGCAAACCTTGCAAATAGGTACTCATTTACATACTTGTACATCAAAGATGCCCAAATATATTTGTGGCAACTATTTGTTTTGATACACATTTTTTAAGTATAATTAAAATGAGTTATTGCGATTATATTACTAGACATGCAGCAGGCACGATTGAATCTATTCCTGTAAGTTTAGTGGGGGTGGTTTTGTTCAACTGACCCATTGGGAGTTGTAAGCACATCCTGATCCTCGACACCGAGCATGCGAGGGATAGACGGGCCACAAAGATCCACATCCAGGATGCCGACTTTGTAGCCAAGCGCCCTCAGAGTGAACGCGAGTTGTACGGTGGTTGTGCTCTTGCCCACTCCTCCTTTGCCCGACAATACCACTATGGTCTCCCCAACGCCATTCAGCACTGCACAAGTTGTGATATATTACAGTACAGTATTACATCAAACCTTCAACAACAAGAAATAACAACAATTCCTTTGGTTCAGTTAATAGAGATCTGATAACAATCATCACCCACTTACCAATATGAAAGATAAAAACTGTAAAAATTTCATTTTCAGAATTTCAAAAACCAATTAAATTATGAAAACTAGATGTAATAGTAACCGGGTTTTTCTGCTTCCACCCAACTGCCTCCTCTTCTGGTGGCGCTCCCTCGCCCATCACCTGAGCAGCCTCCCCTCTGCATATAAGCCGTCAGCACAAGAAACAACATAACATAAAAAACCTATGTATTATCGTTGCCCCAAAGCAATAATACTATTCCTTCTCGCTTTCAGATAATTTCTTCTAACGTAATGCTGATATAATAATAAAAATCTAATTGGATTATCTTATTCAAAACATTTTACATGCTGCAACTACTTTTTTTATATATAATGCAATTTAGAATGATCTCAAAGTTTTTCTCACCTGTTTCTGTTGACATTTTTAGTCAGATTTTGGTGTGTTGTAAATCCAAAATTTGGTGAATATATGCAATTTTAGATTTATCACAAGTCACCACATAAACAATTTTGAGGTGCAGTACTACAACAAAAATTTCTGAAAATCTGTAAGGAGAATTTGGTTAGTTAGTTTTTTCTAAACCATGTTCAGGTAAGTTAGTACCAATAAAGAAATTTCATAACAAAGTTTTCTTTATTTTTAGGCAGCTTATAATGATTGGAGCTCATATTATGTCTATTGGACCTCAGACATTGGAACAGTGACTAGAGAAACTCTCTTCTCTTTCTACACAGGCTTGAGAATCGTGTTAATATGTGGACACATCACCTGCATGCATCAGGAAATACTTTTGTTGGAACAATCTTGATTAAACCTTATGCCCTAAACTTCTTAATTCAGGCTATTTATAGATAATGTATACCAATTTATTTCTATTGGCCAGGGGCCATACTTTCAAAACTCGCTAAGTGAACGTAAGTACTTACGCTCTATTTTCTTGTCTATGATTGGTGCATTTTGCTTGAAAGGCCGTCAATGATTGGCTGATGAACTTACGATCGCTTAACTTTTTTTGAAAGTATAGGCCCAGGAAATCATCTCTTTATTGTTTTTCATCATACGTACCGTTAATTGTCATTATTAATTGGGAGATTTGGTAGAAAATTTTCAGAAAAATCATAATGTTATTGATGTGATTGTATGCATAGAATCTGAGCACTAATATACATAGTTATGGCTTATGAGTCCTGCCAACAAAATTAATTGCATGTATAAAACATTATGATTCCTAAAAATGTGTAATAGATTTCTTCATTTGTAACTTTTTTAATGCTGTGCTTTGCAGTACCTCATCTTGTTCTGTAAAAACACACTGTTTAGCTCCCTGGAGTTCTTTCTTTTCAATTTTCACAAAGGCTTTCAAAGATTTCAGTATTATGGTGAGTTTTCCAATCTTGGTATGCCAATGATTCTAAAACTTCTTCATTAGCCCAATCTGCCTAATTGAGCTGTAAGATTTCTGATCAAACCAAAATAGATTATTTTATATCTTTAGTTTGGAGATTGAAAATTCACTGAAATGTAATTTATAATAATTTAGTAAACTTCAAAACATTTAAATGTTCTAATCTCAATCAGGAGCTGCTCTAAATGAGCCAAAACTGCCTGTGCTTTATTTTCAGCCATATATGCATGTGGATCAGATCTAATTTTTACAGTAAAAAAATTGAACAGAATTGCACATTTGAATTATTTGAATAATAACATGGTTATTAGATCTTGGAGTTGAATGTTCAGTTTGACTTTGTTTTAAATTCTTTTATTGTGATCAGTTCATGAAATTTTGTCAGGAACCACCTATGAATGTGACAAAAATGCCCTTGCAACTTGTCAACTTCATGTTTTCAGCCCTAGCCTAGTTTATTTAACAAAATCTAGGAATAATGGCTCATTTTTGACCACCCATGACTTTAATTAAAAAAAATCATCTAAAGAATGATAGTTTTTACCAGTAATTTAGATAAAATTCTTCCCAATAATACAGATTGGATCAGGCATAGAATATATCTACCTTTCAAGACATGACTAGAGGCAGAGCTTTCCTGCCATTTTAGGGGCTGCAATATTTTTGCCACATGAATTACCTCAGAATTTATTAATAACAAATGTGCACAACCGTGCTGCAAGATTTTTAATGTAGCCTTATTGAAGATTTGTAAATTTTGGGCCACAATATATTAATAATAAATGGGAAAATTTTAATACTGGATTAGATTGTGTCTGTGTGTAAATGTGTTTACACTTTACTATGTTGTAATCCACTAGTCATTAGTCATCACTCATCAATGATGACTACTCGTTAAGTCATCATAGCATAGCAAATTAGCAATTACAAATCAGTCATAAACAAAAGAAACAGGTGAAATTTAGGCAATTTACTACAAGCATGGGACTGATAGGAGCTTTGTCTCATTTACCATTCATACCATTTTACAGGTGGCTTTTTCTCAATTTTCCAGTATACCATTAGGCTATGACTGACTTTAGGAATTGTTTTCTATTTTGCTGGTAAACTCAACTAACAAACTAGTGGCAAGCTTGCAGTAGCTGGTCCTGGTTAGGGACCATGGAACATCATTGGTACTGGTATCACCAATCTGTCCAATCACACTGAGACTGAGTCAAAGATTGGAGCACTATGAGTATGAGCAAAGGATTGCCTGGGCTGGGTTCCAAGGACAGATGGTGCAAGCAGTGTTGCCAAGATATGGTTTTTTTAGCCCAAAGCATTGCCAGCCATTTTAAAGATCCTTTGCCAGGTAATTTTTAATAAGAAAGTTCTGCAAGCAACTTTAATAGTATATCCTTTACTATCCACGCACTGCAACACTTGCACACAAGTCACATTGCAACTGATTTCCAGACAAGCTTCACTGCATCCTGATCCTTCTGGCGCACTAGAAACCTTACTGTGTGCGCTTGCGGTATTTTGAATTTCCAGTAATTTTGAAGTTATTTCTCATATGCAATAATTTCAGTCCAAATGAGTTGGCAAGATCTTCAGAAGGCCTAAATTTTGCTACCAAATTCCAGGCTGTATAGTAGGGCCTTTCAGCTCGAGATATCGGCGTCTTATCAAGCTCTCCATCAGCTACCTCGACCTTAAATCGGCGTCCATGGCCGATCATAAACTATGGCTTGGGCAGCCATGACCGATCATAAACTATAGATTGCTCAATCAGCCCCGCCGTAACAACGCGCATCTTCAGCTTGTTTGATTGCTTGTATCTGTCACCTGATCACAATGTGCAAACGTCTGGCGCGCCCAATGCTATTGCTGGAAAAACTTGTCAATCTATTGTGTTCTAACTCGATCTATTGTGTTCTAACGCGATCTATCGTGTTCTAACTCAATCTATTGTATTCTAACTCGATCTATCGTGTTCTAACTCGATCTATCGTGTTCTAACTCGATCTATTGTGTTCTAACGTGATCTATTGCATTCTACCACGATCTATACTAGCGTTCTAACGCGATCTATTGCGTTCTAACGCAATCTATTGCGTTTTAACGCGATCTATAGCGTTCTAACGCGATCTATAGCGTTCTAACGCAATCTATATCGTTCTAACGCAATCTATAGCGTTCTAATGCAATCTATTGTGTTCTAACACAATCTATTGTGTTCTAATGGGATTTATTGCGTTCTAACGCGATCTATTGCATTCAAACGCGATCTATTGCATTCAAACGCGATCTATTGAGTTCTAACGCGATCTATTGCGTTCTAACGCGATCTATTGCATTCTAACACGATCTATTGCATTCTAACGCGATCTATTGCGTTCTAACGCGATCTATTGCGTTCTAACGCGATCTATTGCATTCTAATGCGATCTATTGCGTTCTAACGCGATCTATTGCGTTCTAACGCCATCTATTGCATTCTAACGCGATCTATTGCATTCTAACGCGATCTATTGCATTCTAACGGGATCTATTGCTGTCTCTTATACACATCTAGATGTGTATAAGAGACAGGCGATGAACTCTTCGTATGGATGGTAGTCGTGACCGCTGCCATCATCATACTTTCTTCGCTCTACGCTCTTCGCTCTTCTGATGTGATGAATACGATCTTCGCTCATCTGACGTGATGAATGTTCGTCTTCTAAGATTTTTATATTCAGCGTTCGCAGAATATATTCACAGCGCTTTTAGTTAGGAAGACGTTCGATATTTGTGAAGAATTGTAGCCATCATTTTATTGAAGAAGAAATCTATTATCGCGATTCTTCTTTTCATTATATATGTAACCGATATATCTCAGACACCCACGTTTTACGCATGGTGACATTTCTACCTGTGCATTTCGTATATCCGTCGACGACGTTGTAGACGATGTTGTAGGCGTTCTTCTTCGAAGTTTTCGTCGGGCGTCTTCTTCTTCACTATCGTTCTTTGCACTCTCTTGAATAATCATTTTCACAATATTCAAAGTTCATTTTCACTGCCACTTTATCACACGGTCGGGCGCCAATTGTCCGGATGTGATTTGGTCTGACTGGCCCGATAATATATAATTATCTCAAAGTTTAGTATTGATTAATAACCGGATGATCTTCTTAGGTTTATTTGAGTTGAGGGTCCAAGGGTTCGTATCTAAGGTCCGAATAAGCGGCAGGTTGATTGAGAGGCGAGTTTCTTAGTTATATATTTACGAACTAGATAGGAATACAAGGAAGCTTGGTGATAAGTACACAAGGTAGGTTTTAGATGGTTACTCTAACGACGGAGGCTACTCGACGCCGGAGTCAGGCCGTGATCGTGCGGACTACATGGTGATGGCTTACTACGTCTCGCCTCCTGCCTAAGACTGACTGAAGGTCTGCTCGAAGAGCTTATATAGGCATGCTATAGTGACGTCACGGAAGTGACGCAGTAACTGCTAAAACAAGTAAGGGAGTTACGGTAGCGTGCCTGACACGTCCCCTCCTGAAGGTTAGATCCGTCCTCGGATCGATAATTTAAAAAGTGAGGGTTACCTAGTAGGATTGCTTTAATAAATCAGTCTCTACTAACTTTTACTTTAGTATGAATGACTAGAGCTCAAATGTAGCTCTCACAGCCTTCGTAACTGCACGCTACAGCGCGTAGTTCAGGTGGCTATGAGCACGTATGCTTGGGTGCTCAAATGTAGCTCTCACAGCCATCAGAACTGCGCGCTACAGCGCGTAGTTCAGGTGGCTATGAGCATGTATGCTTGGGTGCTCAAATGTAGCTCTCACAGCCGCCGGAACTGCGCGCTACAGAGCGTAGTTCAGGTGGCTATGAGCATGTATGCTTGAGTGCTCAAATGTAGCTCTCACAGCCATCAGAACTGTGCGCTACAGCACGTAGTTCAGGTGGCTTTGAGCATGTATGCTTTGGTGCTCAAATGTAGCTCTCACAGCCATCAGAACTACGCGCTATGATCGTAGCGTGTAGATCAATACGGCGCATCTGTCACATTGATCGTAAATCGCGATTCATGAAGCATAATTGGCAACTGGCATCCAGTGGCATCCACCTTGGCATCTTTGGTGCATGAAATCGGCGTCCACGACCTATGTCATGCCATGCTTTACAGTCTGGCCATTTATGAGGCATGAATTTACTTAAAGTCCATAAATGTGTTATACTAAATCTCTAATTTTACCCTAAAACAGTCAAAAGGCAACAATAACATGTGTCTTTATTGTAAGCTGATAGCTGAACATTTGTTAATGCAATCTGGCTTGACTACAAATATGCGCGATTTTCAACAAAACATTTAGGTTGACTTGTTTACATTACAATGATTACTTTCTGCAGGATATTTTAGTGGGAATTGGGAAATGGTATATTAATGCAGATTGCAGAAGTGGAAAATTTGGTAAAACTTTAGATTAAGTGCATCCAAAAAAGGGTGTTTTTTTTCTTTAATTATATGTTTTTTGGAGTGTAGATTAAGAATCTGAAATCCGTTTTTGGCAGTTGGCATCGGAAAACTGGTATTATACGATTTTTTATACATTTTCTATAGATAACCTAACCTAACCTAGCGCAATTTTGGGGTTTTACATAGGTTTACAGTCATTCCCAGATTGATATAGATCATTTCCAGTCAAAAACAAATTTCCAATTTTTCCAATGAAGATAAAATGCAAGGTAAATTGTGGACGTAAAACCCATGGATTTATAGCGTTTTTAACTTAGACTCGGGGACCATTGTACTCTTGTGGTTGATTCATAAATATATCAGTTTTCCGATGCCGACCGCCAAAAACGGATTTCAGATTCTTAATCTACACCCCAACATGATCTACACGAATCTAATAATAGTTTGTCCTTCCTTGATTGTAATATAAACAAAATCTAATGGCCGTTTTTTTAACTTCTGAGTTCTGAAAGCCGACAGTCACCGGCCTAAATACCAGTTTTTGTTCATTCCAGTTCAAGTTAAATGGGCTTCAAACATTATTATAAAGAGGTTTTTGCATTTGCTCAACATACCAGGCTATGCATGCTGAATTTGAATTTTAAGAAATATTTTCTTGCTTAATGGACTTCCAGCAAGTTTGGTGTATAGCCATAGTGGCAATCCAGTGATTTTTTAGAATCAGTTCATTTTTAATTTCCTCATTTACTCAAGATTTATGCAAACCGCGATTTTTTAATCAAACAAAAATTTATGACATTCGAGCTGCGATATTTCATACCTACTGAAATTATATGATATTAGAGCCACGATATTTCAGACAAAAATAGGACTTTTCCAGACTAGGTGAGAGATCGGTTCTCATATTTAGTCATGTAGCTCCCTACAGGATTTGAGAAATTTAAACAAGCCAAGTATTAGTAAATGGACTTAGATTAATACTCATTCGACGCAAAGCATAAAAGGTAAATGAATGCTGGTTTAGCTTCAAGCCTCCATCCCTACTTCAAATAGGTACCTAAAATAGCTGTTATTGGCATGATAAAACTCCGTGGTCCGTCCTCCGTAGTTGTGTGATTTTCTTTGCTTGCGGAAAATTAAAGTTTTTAACAAATCTATGTACCTAGTTTGGTTACCGAGTTTCAAAGGATTATTTTTATCACATATTGTATATTTTCTAGTGAATTTGAAGCCTCAAATGAATTCATACCGGCGTTTTTCTTATTTTTCTCAGCATCTTAGATTGAGAAGTGACACCTCGAAGGTCGCACAGTATCCAGGGACAAGTGTTCGCTATGTACTGGTGTTTAAATTAAATCTAACATGTCAGACGAAGAAAATTGGACCATCGAATGTAGTGATGAAGAAATAGATCAGGCTTTCGAAGAAGATGCTTCTGGTGAGTTTGAATTAAATTTGAATTAGCTGACTGTTTATTTTTTAACTTACTGGATCAAATCTTCATAAACTTGTTATAGGAATTAACCTAACTAAAAGTGCTCGATTAATTGTAAATTAATGCAATTATTATCTTAAGTAACTCATAGAGATTGATATCTTGCGCGCTTTCAGGAAATTGCATGCCCAAGAGCATAGACGCCATAATCAAGGCATGTGAGTCGGTGGCTCGAGCGCGAGCCAACGAGCCCGTACTAACATGGAAAAGCAAATACGGACGACGACCGCCTACTCCTCAGTCCCTCTCAGACTCTCCATCAGAGGACGAAGAAGTATCTAACACGTAAGTTGCTATTATCATTTCACTCCCATTCGTGTTGCGTATTTCATAGTAACCATAGAAACTTTCGTTTATACTAAATCATTTTAAAACGCCCGGTTAGATACTATTACTATGTTCAATGACATCCATCGATTAAATTACCTTTACCGCAAAATAAACTGCCTCTTCGCCCAGTTTCAAAGCTTTTATTGACAGACACGTGGACACCTCAGGATTTGACTTCTCTGACGACTCATCAGCTGTGCGTCTTGCCCCACGCCGCACGCCGGGGTCGGCTACGCTCAAAGGCAGCGCTAAGAAGAAGACGACGAGCTTCGAGAACATCTTGGCCAGCGTGCGCAGACAGAAGAAGCTTGAAGCCACCGAGAAGACTTCGTCCAGGTTCAAGAAATGAGCTTTCTTCTAGCTCAAGCAAGTGTTAGTTAGTGTTCAAACCTTTTAGTTTTATAATCAACGACTTGTTTTTTTGTCGTTTCCGAGACATGAGGAGACACGGTTAATCGAAAAGCTGTTGAGAACTTTGAAAAGGCAATTTTTTTCATTTGTAACGCGATTTATTTTCTCTATCCTCAATTTTTTTCAACCTCCTTACCATGAACAGATCTTATATTGGAGCATAGACATCCTAAGCCTCTGTAAATTTTGTAATACGATATTTCAGAAGAAAGTAACGACCACTGTTCAACATATATTGCTGTATTAATACCATTACAATGTAATACTGTCCTATTATCTTTTATAGTGACGAGAATGCTATCGTAGAGGCATGAAAACATTCATCAATTAATACAAACTACTATCGGGAAAAGCAGCAATAGAGAAACGTGAACTAACTATTGAGAATTCGAGAATGTAGGAGGATATGGATGAAGTGAAAGTATAGAGAGGAATTCTATGTTAATGAAGAGATCGGAATACTAAGCTTTTAGCATACTAATTATAAGACTCATCTTCTTCGTTGGCAATATATTAGAGTAAAATATGTAACAATAAGCCATCACATTGACTAAAAGACTGAACTTAACACTGGACGTTAGAAGCTGGCGCGGGTATATTTTTTTAGCAATTTCATTACTGCTACACATCAGTCGGTAAGTACACTTGACCGGGGAAATATTTGAAAGGCCCTAGATAAGTAAACATTGGTTTAAGATTAATGAAATCAATTCAACATTCCTTCGTAGAGATTTACAAAGATAAAATTTGCTCTACATGATAAATTAGCACTGGAAAAAAAAATAATTTGTTGAACAGTGTTGAGACAGAGTGTGCGGAAGGCGTTAACAAGTTTGCGATGCCATTTTCATTGTTGTGAGCAAACAGTTCCGTAGAATTTACGCGGCGCGGACGAGCCCGGTCACATAAAAGGCACATTGATCGATCCACATGAAAGACAACTCCAGTACATGTTGCGCTCGTTAAACTGAAGACAATACGATTGTACCTAACGCTAAATGCTAGGACACTATAACAAATCCCGTATGAATCAAATCTAGGCGTACATTTTCTTTCACACGGAAGTGCTTAACAAACTAAATATTTTCACACATTTCCTGGTAGTTAAAACAGTTTAGTCATTCGCAAATTGAAAAATTCCTACAGAGCAGCTACCTGCAGGGCGCCGCTACACAACGGACAGATCAATTTCTCGACAGCGAGAGTAAAATATCACTGGATTACATGAAATATAATATTTGTTCTATCAACAAGTTACAATTTCATTTCGATTCCGGTATGAAACATTGGTCCAATGAAACCAAAAATTTGTAAATGCAAGCAGGGAGAATTACTTTCACGTCGTGCCAGCAAAAAATGACAGCAATAATCTTACGAGCTACCAGTCACTACCAGCAATCGTAAGCCGGGCCTGTGGTATGGGAAACTTGCGAGTGAGCAGCAACATTAACTCACCAAGCATCTGGTGGCTTCAATGGCACGGAAGCGAATAGAATTGTCTATTTTTCCTTAAATAACGACCTAAATATATGAATTGGTACGCTGCATAAACGAAGTTAGCTTAGATTCTTTTAAAATGCAACTTTAAGACGTAGCTTCCGGATATATTTTACTGGTCAATCGATAAGTAACTGAGCTAGGTTGTCAACAAATATTCTATGAGACCTACACATTATTTAGGAACATCACTAGTACAAACTACACAAGTAAAATCCGGACATCTCATCGGAATATATTCATAAGAGAGGTTAGAAAATTAACCTCTGATACTAATTATACAAACAATCCTTCGGAATAGGGCGCTAGTGAAAGCATCTAGAGAACTCTAGAGAAGCACAGCAAACCCAGTAAAAAAATTACTAATTATAAACACAACCTCGGGTACGCGACAAATAGGCAGGAGCTGAAACATTGGACAACTGTAGAAATTTCAATAAATGCAGAATGTTTCCATGGCTTGATAAATGTAAACTGAGTGCCTTCCGAACTGGTTTTGGCACAGTGTAAATTAGACAGAAATGTTAAAATTCGAAAGGTGCAAAGGAGACAGACAACTGGCATATCCATGTAAATAAAATAGAAAAATGCAATAAATGAGGTAATAAAATAAGAACAATAAAAATTTGTACTATTCAAACATGGAAAAGTCGCTTCAATAAATGTTTACTGCAATGAGACAGAGAAGTGACTTAAGGTCTATAGTGAGGCTCGTGTGAGTTTAAATCTATATTCGAGGGGATACATCGAGTCAATGAACTAGTCATTAATTTACGCATGAAAACATTTTTATCGAACAAAACAGAATCAAAACGTGACAGTTGATAGATGAATTGGCGAAGTTTGCTTTTGACTTCCTATCGCCGCAATGACGGACGGCTGTAATGAGAAGGGACAAAAAATGCAACGCATTGCAGGTATCGCGAACTGAACGTGAAAAGATGCAATAATCCATCCTCAAACACGCAAAATCTGACGGAGCTAAAGAAAATCAAATTACAGAAAAAGTAACTGTTTTTTATTATTCAGCAGTGTTCTGAAAGATTACTCAATTGATTACCGTTTAAAATAATGAGCGTTCTCTCTTTCAAGCATACTTGAGTATTTTACAAGCGATAAAGAACGGCTAGATTTGCTATTTTTAAATTAATGCTATGGGAGGAGATATCTGCGAAAAAAATTATTTTTACACGATGACGTATGGAAGTTAACCAGCTTTGATTACGCTAATCACCCAACCAAACGCAGGGTGACGTGTGGTAAAGACCATGTTTTTATAACCGAATTTAATAAATAGTTTTGAATGTTTTTGAAAGCACATAACAAAGTGAGAGAGAGAATATCAAGATGCTGATTAATGCAGATTCAAAATTTAAAACTCGAGTAGTAGAGCCTGTACAATATCACAAAACCAACAATTTAAGAGCTAGATTCAAACTGCTCCAGAGAGCATCATTGGCTGGTCAACACAAAAGCTACGATAATTGCTTGAAATTACGCCAAATAGGTATTAGATTGGCGATAATAATAAATAAATGATGAATAATGTGCCATCGTCAGTTAGAGGAATGAGAATAATATTTTTTTGGACCCAACTTACGTCAACGAGCTCATTGCCCAGCGTAAAACCGAGGGCTTTAAAGCCAGCACATCCTTCTATCAACTTCAAAAACAAATTACAAAATTGATACATTAAGTACTACACGAGTTTTGTCATTAGTAAATACGTTAACACTGCTAAGAACAAGTAAGAAAGTTCATGCAATTTCCTTGACAACCAGCATCGATATAGTGTGCATGTGGTGAAGAATTCTCTGCAAGAATAATCACAATTTTAAAGCAGTAACGACCATTGTTGCTCAAACGATTCCTTATTAAAAAATCGATCATTTTGAATATGAATTTAGTGAATTCCTTAAACGCTGAAAGGTAAATATGTGTTAAAATACCCAAGAAAGTCTTGCGATACATGAGCGAGCGGAGTTCATAAGGTGCATCACATTGGCAAACGGATTTTTGAAGTGTGAAGGAGGAAATGCTATAAGAATTTACACTGTTATTGGGGGACGCAGACCAGTAACAATAAATTAGGTCACAAGTATCGCGCTATTGCTCATGAGAATCTACGGTTGACGTGGAAGAGTTTATAAACACCCACACAATATAAGACCAGCACGTTGCGAACGAGTCTCATCACTTCTGTAAAATCCGTTAAATTAGACTTTGATTATTAACATGGAACACAGTCGACAAAATAAAAATCATTTAAACATTGTAATGCTGTAATATTCTCGCACCTAAATCTTGTATGGGCAGGAATAGCCGCAGTCGTATGTTACTATTCCAGCTCAGGATAAAAATAACAAGCCAGAACCAAACCAATATGGCGTATATCTCATTAGTTCGCAGGAGAAGAATAAATTTGAGGCAGAAGAGATTGCAATTCAGACTGAATTCCAAAGTTATAGCTTGATTTAACAGTATATAACCAAGGTGGAAGCATAAAAATTTATACATATATACTGAGTCATGAAAAAAACAAGGGCAGAATAAAAATTCTGATAACTTTTGCACACTTCATTAAAAGATCAAAGAAAAATTCAAGTGATCAGTTAAAAAAGAACGTTGCCTCAATAAGATACCGATCAAAGTCAGGAAATAAAATACTTACTTCGTGAATCAGAAAAGAAACCGGTTTTGGGGGAAATCTCCCATCAAATACAAGCATCACATTAAAATTATGTATTGGCTGAAGACCGCGCAGTTCAATAAAAAAAGTAGGCAGGTCTATTTCTTACAGCAACAATCACGGAAAATTTATTGCTGACTTCGGGGGTCGCTTTCGTTTCATTTTCATAGAAGTTCGTTCTCAATATTCCTTCACCTAATAACAATTGAACAACTACTGATAGATTAAGACCATGTCGCGATAATAGCACGCAACAGCAAGAGGTAACCTCAAGAAATAGACTTGGAGATACGACACGAGTCTTCATCAGCGCCTGGTGTTGGAGGAGCAAGCGAGTCACGATTGCAGGCCTCGACATTAGGATTTTCCTTGCCGAGTGGAGAGAACTGAGAGCTCGTGGCAGATGGTGAGGTGCGCAGTGACGCTGCTCCATCTTCCGTATCCATATTCGAGACGTCGACGGGACTAGCGCTGTTTTCTAGCCTGCCGCGACTGTCGCCGTTCACGGCAGAAGTTGACGCGCCGATGCGCGGTGGTTTCGCTACCATGGGACTTGCAGGGGAGCTTTGAGGGAAGTCACCCGGCGGAGTGCTTACCCGACGGTGACGCATGCTACTGAAGTCTCCCTTCATCCTCTTCGTGCTCTGACGCCCCAACTGCTGCCGATCGCGCTCGCTTAGCTCCAAGTTGCTAGGTTTGCCGTCCGCTGAAATCGCTGTTCCATTCATTACGAATTCCTGCCAAGAACGTTAATGATCTTAGATGGCATTGAGCAAATAGACTCTGCCCACCACCAAACCATTGGAGGATTACAGCAAAAAATGCATTCGTGCTAATCGAATACAATTGTGAAAGGTGCAGTAACGGGCAGTTTTATTGCCAGGGGGCAATTCACAGTTGAGAGAGATGATCAGACAGATCTCTAAAAACAGAGATGATTCGGAAAACTTTGAAAGATTGCTCAAACAGTGATGGTTTTGTCAAACAGTGATAGTTCTATAAAAAAACGAGATGTTACAGGCAAACAGTGATAGTTCCATAAAACCGTGATGTTTCAGACTGACAAAGATGTCAGACAAACAGAGAGAGCAGGTAAACTGTGATAGTTCGAACAGTGATGGTTCTAGAAAACAGATGATCCAGGCAAACTGTGATAGTTTTGTAGAACTGAAATGGTTTGGGCACACCGAGATAGTTCAGGTAGTTAGTTGAGTGGTCACGTGTTAATTAGCGCTTCAGCTATTTAGCTTCCTCGCACCGGAGGTCAAGATGAACATCGCCAAAGAGGTGGAAGGTCTCAGTTATCGCAATTTTCCAAAATAAAAAATTGGGCACAAGGGGCGGAAGGTTTCACGTGTCCAGCCCGCTGAAGCTGGCTCGAAAGAAGCAGCGTTAGCATCTCAAAGAGACGAAGTGACAAGGAGGGACAGGTGACGAGGGACAGGTGAAAAGCAACAGAAACTAAGACACTCGAACAAGAGGTCACTTACACTGGACGTCGGCCGCCCGCACGAGAGAGAGGAGAGAAATGCAAGGAATCCTACCTACATAATAACTTAATGTAAGGAATCCTACCTACATAATAACTTAACCCCACAACTGAGACCTGCAGTCACTGCAGTCAGACACCGCGGGCTCAGCGGTGGGGCGCTCAGGAACAATCCACCTAGGAGCGCGAAATTCCATAGGACTTTTGACGCACACAGACACACGTGAGAAGTCCCCCCTAAGGGGGCCGTGATAGTTCAGACAAACAATAATTTTTCAGCATGGCAAAGGTTTAGGGAACAGTACGAGGTTAGACGAACGTCAAAAAAGATTAACACAGACAATTCTCACAAATAGTGTAAATACAACAAATACAAATATTTCAATAAACGGTGATTGTTCAAATAAATGGTGATTTTCCAGAAACGACCAATAAAACAAGAGCTGATTATTCAGGAAGACCAATGCCGATCAAACCACCAGCCATCCTTCAGACCATCAGTGATTCTTTAAACCCATCAGTGATCCTTCAGACCTCAAAGCGATCATTCAGACCATCAGTAATACAGGGTGGGGCAGAACCGATTGAGCAGTTTTGAGGCGAAATAGAAGAGTAATGGAGGTACATAAAGAGGAAAGTTTATTTTCTTCGAGGTTAGCATGACATATCATTTAAAATACTTATGTTTTGAAAACAATATCAGGAAGATGGTGGCCGTTGGCTGCAACACACTGTTGGAGTCGTCACCCCTCAGAGACACCAGACGTCCGGGAAACATGCGTTTCAAAACATTGAGTGACATTCGGGCTCTGTGAGCTGTAGCCCCATCCTGCTGGAACCACACGTCTCCCAATGCTTCATTTTCATTCATCCCAATGCTTCATTTTCATTTTGTTTTCCATCCTGGGCTGCAAGAAATTTTGCAACATTGCAGCATAGCGTTCGGAATTCAATATCCTCCTCTGTTACTCCTTCCTCCGAGAACGACTGCAACAGTGTGTTGCAGCCAACGGCCACCATCTTCCTGATATTGTTTTCAAAACATAAGTATTTTAAATGGTATGTTATGCAAACCTCGAGGAAAATAAACTTTCTTCAGGAAATAATGGAAAATAAACTTTCTTTTACTCTTTTATTTCGCCTCAAAACTGCTCAATCGGTTCTGCCTCACCCTGTACTTCAGACCACCAGTGATCATCCGTCATACCTCAATCAATCGTTCAGACCCCAAGCGATCGTCGTTCAGAACCCAAGCGATCGTCATTCAGACCCCAAACGATCGTCGTTCAGACCCCAAGCGATCGTCGTTCAGACCACAAGCGATCGTCATTCAGATCCCAAGGGATCGTCATTCAGACCCCAAGCGATCGTCATTCAGACCCCAAGCGATCGTCATTCAGATCCCAAGGGATCGTCATTCAGACCCCAAGCGATCGTCGTTCAGACCGCAAACGATCGTCGTTCAGACCCCAAACGATCGTCGTTCAGACCGCAAACGATCGTCGTTCAGACCGCAAACGATCGTCGTTCAGACCCAAAACGATCGTCGTTCAGACCCAAAACGATCGTCGTTCAGACCCCAAACGATCGTCGTTCAGACCCAAAACGATCGTCGTTCAGACCCCAAACGATCGTTCAACCCAACAGTGGTGGCGGTGCAAGCAAGTGTTGCGTGCAGCTCACCTTGGAGTTTGGTGTTGACAAAGAACTTCTCTCCATCACAGGCGACGCCAGAATGTCGTCCTCGTTCATTATCTGTCGTCGGGAATATAGCCATCAAAATTTACAGGCGAGATTTTGCACGAATTGGCAGCAGGAAATATGTAGCTGGGAATACTAGCGTCTTCTTTTATTACCACCAAGCACTATTATAATGAAACACAATAATTTATTAGAGCAGGAGGCAGCGTTTATTATTGAATGGCGTTAGTAAAAATAAATATAATTACCGTGGCCATTTCAGAATCGAAGTGATCAGAAGCTCCGCCTTCCTTTTGGCTCTTCTCCAGCTTGTAGGCGCGGCGAGCAGCGATGTATTGCGAGCGACGCAGCTTCATGAAAATTACCTGTACAAAATAATTAGGTTAACATCACTTCTTACATTCAAAGATGGCGCTTATTCCATCCAAGAACATAATATCTTCTATGATCTTATCATATTAAATGAAACCATTTTTGGAAACTGTGCGTGCTAGAACGCTGCAGTGAAAACTTGAGGTACAACCTGGGAAGAATTAAGAAAGCTTAACTGGGACGACAAAAACTTGAACAAACCAAATAACCAATACAGATCATACAAACAACTGATGCATCACGTGTCGTGCTGTGATGGCCCGCACGTATCTCAGTGATGGCCCGCACGTACCTCAGTGATGGCACGTATCTCAGTGATGGCCCGCACGTACCTCAGTGATGGCCCGCACGTACCTCAGTGATGGCCCGCACGTACCTCAGTGATGGCCCGCACGGAGTAGTCCGCAGTGAAGGAATATTTGGTGGCGTCCAGCGACTGCAGGGAGCTGCCCAGCAGCGCGCCGCTCAGCTGCGTGCTCGCTGATATCGACTCTGCCATACAAACATTACATTAATAACATACGAGCATCTCACTTATAACATACGTACAAACATAACACTAATAACATACAAACATTACACTGAAAACATACAAAATCTCACTAATAACATACAAACATTACATTAGTAACATCCAAAGATAACACAAATATCATACGCATATATTGCTTTCTATAAACTTTTTGTCCACTAAAATAGAATCACTAGAAGAAATAACGTTTTTAGGAAATAATTAAAATTAATTTAATGTTTCTCTATGGTAAGAATTTTTTTCGGCAACAACCTGATCTGTTTAATCCGGCATCAGAGATTTATGGTTATACTTTACGGTAAATACAAATGGTAAAGTAAGAATTTGAGTGGAGCGTGTTAATGAGCTACACGCCAAAATGACGCAATAAATAACCTCAATGCAACATTTCTACGTTGTCTTCTGAACTCGAGAATTCAAAGTATTCCAACGTTCCTTTCAGGGAACCGAGACACTTTGGTCCAATAACGATATAGATTTTCCAAGTGTTTGGGTCATCCTGGTCCACTTTGGCAGAGCAAAAGGGGGGAGGGTATCAGTGCTGAGGGCAGAAACTGAGTAAATATTTGGACGACGTGCCACATTTATCCTGTGAGTAGCCACTTGAGCGGCGAGTACATGACTGACCGACGACTGGCTGCAGAGAATACGACTGACCGACGACTGGCTGCAGAGAATACGACTGACCGACGACTGGCTGCATGCAGAGCGCCGCGGTGCCGAAGTATGTGAAGGGGCCGCTCTCGAACGTCAGGTTCTCCTGGCCAATTGTCACCTCCACGTGGCCCTCCAAGATCAACACGAAATAATCTACTGCTTTGCCCTGCACGAAATAAATCATCATTAATAAATATACACTGGGAACGAGACAAAATCATTCTTGCCAACTTTTAATGATTTGAACAAATAAAATATTTTTAAAGCTATCAGATCGACCCTGAATGGCAGAGGCTAAAGCGATAATTATTTCCACGAATACAATATTTTAGAGGTGCAACAGACCTGAGTGTAGATGAACGTGTCAGGATCTTGTTTGTTGAGAGGGTCGCTAATTTTGATGCAGTGCATGACGTCCTGCGTGACGAGACGTCTCAGGATGCTCTCTGACAACATGCCTTCCTTGAACGGCTCCAACGCTGAAACATTCACATCAACTCACTTCAGCGATCTCACCTCACACTAATCTCCCTAATTTGAGAATAAAATGACGCGTTGATATGCTTAGGAGCTTTCAAATATATTATGATACTATGAAGTAATAGCAAAGCTCTTGAGATATAAAACAGCAACGCGAATTGCTGCATGGCCTCTGCATGGACAAAGCCATGCAGCAACTGTGCTCCGCCTCTGCATGGAAAAGGTGGAGCACATAACTCGGGGACAACAAACATGAAATTTATAACTAGAAATGCGCGGAACAGCAAACATAACAGCCAGATTTCTATGGATAAGAATCAAAATAATTTTTTTAATGAAATGAGCGTCGCGATTTCAAAATACAGAATGTACAGTTCAATCAAATAAATTTAATACAAGAAGGAAGCACTAAATTCATTTTTTTCCGGCGAATTTCGTAAGAAACGAAACGGCACAGAACAGCACAGCAGAAATAATGACATGTTCATGAATTTTCCCAGTAACTAATTGAATGGAAGCAAACAAGTACAGCGATAATCACTAGCAAATTACCAACCATCAGAGGCGTTAAGGTCGGGGCCCTGATCATTGACATGAAACCATTCCCTGCTTTTAATTAATAGAATTAATTCCTTTTTGTTGGAATGGTGAGTGTGGGAGGCCTTTTAAAAAAAAACATTACCACCTATGTCATGACTGAGAACAGAAGAAAGTGGTGACTTGGACATAATTACAACCAACCAGGGTTGGCGATTTTTTTTATTTTTTTTTTTAAATCAAAAAAATCAAAAATCGATTATTTTTTTGATTTTTTCATGATTTTTTTGATTTATTTGATTTTTTTGATTTTTTCAACTTTTTTGTCTTTTTGAAGTTTTATTTTTTATGTTGCAATTAGCCTACTAACAATAACAGTATATGGATCATAATGGATGGCTAAAAAGGGCACTTATTGCCTTCAATAATGGCCAACAGGCCAAGGTTATGTTTACCACTTTGGGATTTTTGGTGTAAACAATTATTGGTAAGTCTATCTAATCTATTCATTAGCTTTGTAAAGTTTGCATGGAGCAAGGTAATGAGCTAAATATTGACCATTTAACTGGCTTCAATATACAAAAACACTGCAGGAATGCAGATCTTCTAAACATTGAAGAGTCACACAACAGATAGGTAGCTGATAGCACCGTGCACAGCACTATCAATAGATCTACTAGTTTTATGTCCTATAAATCTACCAGACTCTACCCTCTATCGCAGGCAAGGGTCACGAGTCAGGCATTGCAGGCAAGGGTTACTTGTCATTATCGGCCTGTAAATAACAGATGTATACCGGCAACTCATCTGGAAGCTCCACTAATTATCAATTAAGGCTTCACTCTCTCCAGCACACAAACATTTGATAGATTAAAGTCTCGTTAGAATGATTGAGACCAACGTCTTGATCAACGTCTTCCTCTCTGCCACTCACTGACGCCTGCAGTATGCCAGTATCTACCCCTCGAGGCACTCAATATTCTCCAGGCCCTCAATATCCTTCCTCGAGGCACTCATAAATCACGTCACGCCACTCACTAATCACGCCACTCACTAATCACGCCACTCACTAATCACGCCACTCACTTATCACGCCACTCACTAATCACGCCACTCACTAATCACGCCACTCACTAATCACGCCACTCACTTATCACGCCACTCACTAATCACGCCACTCACTAATCACGTCACTCACTAATCACGCCACTCACTTATCACGCCACTCACTAATCACGCCACTCACTTATCACGCCACTCACTAATCACGTCGGTCTCGTCGACAATCTCGGCCTGTATGAGCTCCTCGATGACGTCCTCGAGCGTGACGATGCCCACCACTTCGTAGAACGGGTCGCCCTCGCCCTCGCTGTTGATGCGCTGGATGAACGCCATGTGGCCCTTGTTGCCTGCACCACAAACGCAGCCACCACCATCATCATCATCATCATCATACGTCATCATTGCCAGCAGCGGCCTGAATGTGCTATAGTGGCACCACTAGCTCGCCTTAACCACAGAAATGATCGAACATTCAGCCGTCATCTCTAAACTCACAAGTCTGTATAATATCAATACGGCATGATCCCAATACAGCAGCATCTCAACACAGTGTATCATATCAAGACAATATCGCCCCATTACACCATCTCACTAATACATCATCTCACAAATTCATCAGGTACAGTATCATATCAACAAAATATCATTTAATCACGGTTATCCAACCCTACAAATTTTCGTGTCCCAGTTGCGAATATCTTCACGCCAACATTGAAGATTAGAAAATAAACTAGCAAAACCTGCGTCTTCTGTGCACAGTAAGATAACAGTACAAAGATAAGGTTAATACGTTATTTAAAATACTTCGTCACATTATACTCGAGAACATCAACCGAGTATAGGCGAAGCAAGACTAACCTTAATTTACCTTTCATTTATGATTTTGATTGAATGGTGGAATTACTTGGACCGAAATGCTTCCTCATACTTCTTAAAACATCTACAAATTTATAAACATAATCCCAACGAAAAAGCTTAAGTTCAAGCGATAAATCCGAATAAATTTTGTTAGCATCAATGCGATGTGATGCGGACCTTCCTTGAACTCTTTAAAGATGGTGTCAAGCGTGGTGTCCTCGAAGACGAAGTTGAGGGCGTTCTGGTAGTAGTTGCTGACGGTCCTGAGGGGCGTGTTGTCGTCAGGGTCGATGAACGCCAAGTCTTTGATGAAGAGCATCGACACGATGTTTGTCCGCTCGTTCTCGAACACCGGGATACGCGAGTAGCCTGTGTGAAAAACTCTCTCAACGGGCGAAGACATTAGGGTACGTACACGGTGAAAGCAGGTTGCCAGCGTGCTGGTTACCTGCTGAGGCTGGCGCCTGCAACAAGCGCGAGAGGTTCACGGAGGAAGCAGGTAACCAGCTGCGACCTAATCAATGCTCTCGGTGAGCAAGTGTATTATTAGTGTATTTTATTATTGTGCTTTATTAGTGAACTTAATAAGTGTACTTTATATGTGTATTTTATTACTATATTTTATTAGTGTATTTTACTAGTGTATTTTATTAGTGTACTTCATTAGCGTATTTTATTGGTGTATTTAATTAGTGTATCCATGTTTTCACACTAGGCTCATCTGAGGTACGAAATAATTCCTAAGATACAAAGAAAATGGAGGGTTTAAAAAATGACCATATGCCAAGCAGGTTGAGCAGATAAGAATGTGCAGTACATTTCGGTAAATAGGTATAAGCAGGCTGTCGGCAGAAGCCTATTCGTACAGGTTTTCACTGTGAACACTAACATTATTATCCTATGTTCATTCTTGTGGCAGGTTGGAGCAGGTTTGCCCGCGCGGGCAAGCCTGCTTTCACTGTGTACGTATTTTGTGTACCCTTTTACAGTATTTTGGTGCTACTATGTGTTTTATGGGAGCTCGGTCGTTAGGATAGACAGGTAGGAAGTGGGTGTTGACAGTAGAGGTCGTAAATCACTATTGACAAAAAAATGTAAAGAAATTCCAGAATTCGGTGTTTAAAGATGCAACTGCGTTTTTAAAAGATATTTGTTAAAGTGAGCCAACAGAAGTGAGATACTATCACCCGTATCATGATCAAACAGTTGTGTTCGTAAGAGATAATTGTTGAACTAAGAAGTAAGTAGAGTTACCCTGCTTCATGATCTAACAGTTGTGTTCATAAGAGATAATCGTTGAACTAAGAAGTAAGTTGAGTTACCCTGCTTCATGATCTCGTTGATGGTGTTGAAGTTGAGGCAAGACTCGATGTTGAGCATAAAGACATCATCGAGAGGTGTCATGATCTCCTTGGCCGTCTTGCGGTGCAGCTCCAGCGCTCCACAAATGATGTTCTGCTCGTCTGCCTGCAGATCGTTCTGGCCGTACGTTACCTACAACACAAATCAATACATTTGTTATTATTAATATCAACAGTAATGCAACAAACCATAATTATTAGTAACATCACTTGTCGCGCAACACAAACAACGATTATAATGTATTATTATCACATACCAAGTCCAGCCATAATCATTGTTGATACCACCAGCCAGGCAACCAATTATAATTATAATTAATATCACCTGTCACACAAGTCCAAACAATATCATTATCAACACTACACAACTGTGTATATACAGTGGTCATGTATATTTCTATATTCATTGTAAACGCGGGGGTGAAATTATTTGCATTTCAGAACAATAGACAAATTGTTTTGTAACCTTTAGACTTATGGGTAAGGTATGTATAATCTAATTATATCATTTTAATACTCGTTCATCAATATCACGCGAGCGATGAGTGATGTATATCTCAGTAGGTATTCATTGTAAACACAGAGTAGGAAAGATTTGCATTGTTTCCTTAATTTCGAACAAAGTGAAAAGTTTCCCATATTTCGAAATGGTTTCAGGTTGTTCTAAAACGGAGACGATCAAAAATAATATTGACATTTTTTTGACATTGCTCTAATTTTTCAAACTTCCAGGACATATGAAAGACATTTTTTACACTGAATATTAATTTTCTTCAAATTTGTAAGCGCTATTGTAATAGTTCTCTACTATCCCCAGTTTCAATTCCTCCAAGAGCGGAGCATGCATTCCGGGAGCAGCTTTCACATGAAGAATATAACCGAACCAATACAATTTATATCTTGATGCATTTCACTTATTTGGCGAAATAATCTAAGCTTCACTTTGCCGTCCACTTATTTTCTCTCAATGAAATTCATTTCATAATAAAGTTATTGAAAGAAACCGAACGCACCATTTCTGAAATGAAGAAGCACTGCAGAGAGTTGCCTAGTTCATAAAAGAAGTAGCAGCGCGGCACTGCGGCAAGCGCCGCGGGCTGGAGTGTCGCAGCGTGAAAATATTCGCACCGGGCACACCGAACACTTCGGCATTCCATTTTAAATCATTTATAAACCCATCAAACACTTTTCAAGCAGAAAATTTCGATTAAAACTCTTCATGTGCAGTTTAGAAGACTTATTAATTGTAACAAAGAGTTCATGATTGACTAACTTTCTTAATTGTTCATAACGTAATGGAGTTCGATCCAGGTTACTATAGGCACCTAGTGATTTTTATTCATAAATAAAATTTACTGAATCGTTCCATGATATTAATTCTATAGGCTCGTATATCATTTTGGAAGTAATCTAAGTAATTTTAGGTACATGACAATCCAAGCGATTTCCAGTTCGTTGTCGCATTTTTTCGACAGCTCCACACCAACTCGTTAAAACAAAAATCTAATAAAAATGATCAAAAGACCATTTTTGTGCTTCGGCCGTAATATATCGTTATTCTTTAATGCCAAATTGCGGTCAAGGTAGAGCAAACTGTTAAATTGAATGACATCTAATTTTTACACAGTAATAGTTCTTATTACCATCGCCAAATAATTTGAGTCAGCAAAAAACTCTTTCACATGCAAAATTTTGTTCAAACGCAAAAATTTTTGTAGTATCTTATACAAAACGAAATTTTCTGGAATCCGATTTCTTTTTTAACCACAAAAATGTCACTAGCCAAACAATTCGGGACGCGGCGCTTTTCTTCTGCAAATATACTTTAGTCACATGCCAGTAACAGTCAGTCCGATATTATTGATGAGTTTCCATAGAAGCATTAACAACAGCCGTGCAAGACACCTGCCATGCCCAGGGTGTGAATGTTTCTATAGAAATAAATCAAATAATATTTGCCTGGCCCGTGCCCAGCAGTCTGGTGTGAAGCCGGCCTAAATTAGGAGCTTAAAAACGCACACAGCGCTAAATGGAATATTTTCACCTAATAGAAGAGAATACCGACATTGAAAACTGATTACAAGTCAAGGAATTAAATCACGTCTAGTTGAACATTTCATGCTAATACAAATTCGCCTCAAGGCTTTCGGGATATTTAGGCTGCGTTTCACAGTAGGCTAAGCAAGCATCTTGATGTGACACGCGTTCTTTTTGAACGCAACTCTTGTGTGCCACAGCCAGATTCAAAATCTCGTGAAACATTTATTCACCTTACCTTATGATGAGTTTAGGACGTCGTAGTCCAAGGTCACGCTGATGCGCCGCCTTCGTCGTCCTCCGTCTCCGAGTCGTCGTCGGATGTAACGTTGGACGTGTTCCGTCTATTTGCCCTCATTTGGGCCAGCTGATGCAAGATGCTGTTGCTTGTCACTTGCTGAGTACCGAGTCCTATTTATATGTCAAGGAATAATTTCCTCCTGAACACTTCCACACTGATTAATTATATATACTGACTTCCCTGATATCCCGCCGAAACACTGAAAAACACTTGGGCCCAAGCTGTACACATTTACAACTGGCCGACAAAGAAAAATAACCGTCACACACGATTATCTCAGCTCACGCAACAGTTCCAGAGAGAGCGGACACGTCACACACATGCACTGCGACGAAAATGTTGTCAGTGCTCATTCATTAGCGGATGAGTCTACAATGGTCAAAAATAATTGGTAAAATTAAATTGACGGACGAAGTAACGTTCATTTTAGATGCTATCACGATTTTCTCGAGCAAAGAAAAATCACAATGCGGACACTTTCTCGTCCAGCAAGAATGTACACGGAAACGAAATGCACTTCAAAACGTATTGCCTGCCTGGGCGCAGATGTAACTATATTGAGCAAGGCACGATTGGATACACGATCTAATAAAAGTTATACTTTGCTTTTCATGAAATCCAGTGTAAACCGTATTAATTTATTAGAATCATGCCCTGGGCAGAGTTAGGGGGACTTGAGAGGCGTCGAGCAGAGGGAACAAAGTCAAGGCCGAGGGAGGTCATCGATTGGCGGGCCGCAGCAGCGCGTCCGCTGCCCGGCGCATCGCTATACTGTAGCGCGGCAAGACCACGGCGAGGGAAGAAGAGGGTGAGGTGGAATGATACGTTGCAAGAATTTGACTCCACTTGGAATTGGTGAACAATATCAATCGGATACTGTTTGTGTAGTTCATGGCAATGAATTGTTTTCCGAAAAATTTGTATTTCACGGCGAGAACGTTGATTCATTTGAAATGGGACGTTCATGCAGTATTTAATGTAGTATATAATCTATATATATATAGGTCCTAGGACATTAGTTCCCTAACTGATACGCGCAGCTTTCCATGTGCTACGTGAACACTTTCGGACAGGAAAGGGGTCATGCAGGATTTTAAATTTGAGTATGTTTTACTTTACAATAATTTCAACGGCCTCACACAAAGTAAACTGGCAATGATTTCCAGCAGTTGCCAGAAGCCAGCCATGCACCAGGTCGCAGCGGCCCACAGTTGAGTTCAAACAGTACAAGTACTTAATGACGGTTGTACCGGCGTTCTAGTGGACGGCCGCCATGTGGAAATAAACCGTTTATCCTTTTTTCAGATGTTGTACGGGTTTCTAGTGTTAAATTTGAATAAAACGGCCAAATTTGAATAAAACCGGATCCCTTGTGAATCAAGTCACGAAAAGTTCAAGAATCGGCAACAGGCCATGGGCCTATGTCTTCAACGCCGACACTTCTATTCTATTCTATTCATATGGTGTTTATTTTCACGTGTTGGCCAGCTGGTGAGTCCGTTTACAGTCATGAACGCTGGTGAGACAGTTTAACAGTGATTTTTCCTATAGGTACTGTAGGGAAACCCTGATCTAAGACGTACAATGAGGAAACAAATTATTGGAGGAGTTCGAATTAAACTTTGCTCGCAATTTCGATCTTATGCAATTAATCAAATATTGTAAGAGAGAAAATTTACGGAGAATATGAGATCGTCTTATCCCCATGAAAATGAGTAAGATAAAGTAAACGTTTCTACGGAGTGACAGCTTATATGGCGAGTCCTGAGTTCAGAAATTCGGTAAAATTCACTTTCAGGCTTTGACTGAAGTTCAACCTAGACCAAACATTACTGAAGATAAGCAGAATATGCACTGTTCTAGGGATGTAGGGTTTAATAATTAGTAGCGGAGCTCCAATCTGACTATCGTTAGCTTGCTCTTATATCTAAAAAATATCGACATTTATGTAAATGTTTATAATACTTTAGTATCTTGTTTGTCTTCAGTGCCTTACTAGTAGTGTCGAACTTTATCTGTCAGACGGTAATTATTTCGCCTTGTTTTACGAATCTTGTTCCATCGCTGTATATGTCACTCAATTCTCACGTGTAAAGAAATATACATGTTGCCCCTTACAATATTGTAAATTGTTTATTGCCATTCATTCGTATGGTAGGGTCCCGGTTAAAACCTTGAATAATGCTAACGTAGCATATTTGTCCCGCTATAGTGACCAAACTTGACTTTCTTGATAACGAAATATGTTGCATGGCCTTCACACGATAACGCGGTGAGGCGCAATAACTCATTTGTGACCTGCGGTTCATGCCGTGTGACCTGCGGTTCATGCCGTGTGACCTGCGGTTCATGCCATGTGACCTGCGGTTCATGCCATGTGACCTGCGGTTCATGCCATGTGACCTGCGGTTCATGCCGTGTGACCTGCGGTTCATGCCATGTGACCTGTGCATGAGCTAGTGTGTTTGGTGCAAAATGAGCACAGTCCTTACATTTGAATGCTTATAAATTGTTTGAATAAACAATTCAGCGAATTTAAAGACTAAAGGTGTGGTGCAGCAACTCAGCGGCAGGAGTTAGTGAAGGGATAATCCTAAAAGCTGCCCAGAGTTTCAAGCTCAATTTAAAATTCGGGAGCTGCATTTTATGCCGGGGCTTGATTGAAATTGATGAAGGCTAGTCAAGTTGCAGCAAAAAGTTCACGGCCATGGCTTTTTATAGCTGAGTTTGATCAGATTTTCATGTTCTAGACTTGCAAGAGCAGTAAAAAGCACAGAGGAGTCAAGACAAATAAAAAAAATCAGTTTAGTGACTAGTTTCGGTCAAGAGTAATGATAGCAGTTGTACAAAATGCTCAAGGCTCAAGCCCTTTTATTTCTGTTGAACTTCTCCTTTTTCTCGCAGTTAATAAGCATGCCAAATTTTTAACCTATCTTTCTACATGTGCTTCACTAGACCAGAAAGTTGCTGATTGCGACTGAAGGTTTGAATATAACATCCAACTGGGCAGCTGCTCAGCACCCGGTAGTCATTACACTCAGTTCAACATTCCAACACAATTCGAGTTTACGGTTAAATTAATTATGTTCACATGAGACGAACATCGACAGTAAAAGCGTCAGTTAATCTGCCGCCGTCACAACTCTTGTGTTCACATGCACGTAGAACTATAATAAATGTATTTATGTAATTTGTTAACACAAGTGGAATCTGGAAATACAAGACAAATTTCTCGAAGACTTCGCTTAGGTCCATTGATTGCGTAATATCGACAAAGTCAACCTTAAGGCAGAAATTTCAACGAATAAGTTTGGTCGAGCTATTAATTTAAGCGTCAAGATCTAAGTAGACGAAAAAAAGAACATGCATTTTTACGGTGCGCCAAAGGCGAGTGTGGCAATGCATTAAAACATTGGACTTCTGAGAAGCAAGATACCAGGCCAGGCTTGCATTATTAGTGCATAGAGACGACTATCGACACACCGGCTCAATAACGAGTGAGTGAAGCGATTCACCTGCTCAAGCGAGCTGCGATGCTCATGCGAGGAAATTATTCATGTACTTACTTGAGTATGAAGTCGAGGCATGCGATAGTTGCAGAGTACTTTAAACTAACATGTACAAGCTATCGCGCATGTCGAGGACACGATAATACTTCACACAACTTATAATAAAACCTCATACATGACATTGTAATTTGGTTCATATAGTACGACTCCAGTCGACACGCTGCAGCAGCCATGTCAATGACATTTGGCCACTGCATTGTAAGCCTCCTGCCGCGCCTCCTTCCATTACATATTGTGAGCCTGCAGCCGTGCCTCCTTCACTAGATTGTGTGTAGCTTACTTAAAAAGTCAAGAGAACAGATGAGTCAAGAGACCAGCTTAGTCAAGAGACCGGCTTGAGTGAAGAGACCAGCTTGAGTCAAGAGACCAGCTTGAGTCAAGAGACCAGCTTGAGTCAAGAGACCAGCTTGAGTCAAGAGACCAGCTTGAGTCAAGAGTAGTCAAGAGACCGGCTGAGTCAAGAGACCGGCTGAGTCAGGAGACCGGCTGAGTCAGGTGACCGGCTGAGTCAGGAGACCGGCTGAGTAAGGAGACCGGCTGAGTCAAGAGACCGACTTAGTCAAGAGACCGGTTCAATCAAAAGGTCAAAATCCGCAAATATTTTTAGCACGCAAGTCCTAAAGATCCTTTTTTTTGCGGAGATGATGAATTTCGTATTCTGAAGACAGGAGATCACAATGGGTGACCTGAACATGATCACAGCCAGAGCACAGTTAAGCATCAAACATTTATCAATTCTCGACAAAGAGACACATAAATACGCCCCAACAATCGCCTTGAAACAATAAAGAATCTCTGGATGGTTTGGGCAGTGAAATCGCTTCAAGCAGAAGTCAATATTAAGATCGACACATTTCCACCCATTTCATTTTTAAAATATAGTGGACTGAAAAATCCTTAGTGAATTAGAGAAATCTTAAATTTTATTTTTCGACCTCTCAAGACAGTTTTGCCGGAAATTAACAATAAACCTATAGAGAAAATGAACCATCTGTAACCTTTCAATACGTTACAGATGATATACAGTGGGGGGAAATAAATATTCGTACACTAATTTAAATCACTTTTCCTGTTAAGTTTGTGTACTTACATACATTAAAATACGATTTTTCAAGTGTACGAATATTTATTTCCCCCCACTGTAAATGTACTACAATTTTTTAATAATAGGCAACAGTAGAAGTTTGAGAGTCTTAACCATGCAGTTCTCCATAAGTCCGTTATGTGTCCATAAGGTAAATATGAACCCTGCAGTGAACGCGATGAATCACTCAGCATATGAGGAAGCAGATCCTCTGGCCTCACACACTCACATGCTGTTACCGCCCATCAACTATTATGAGGGAAAGTTTCATTCTTCCAGAGCATACATGCTTCAAAGCTCCTTCATCTGATTATTCATTGAATGTATAAATCTAGTTTTAATTTTTTATTTTCCCTCTTAGAAAAATCAGCTGTGAGCACTATACTTTTCGCTGTGTATTTTTAACACTTGTTTATATTATAGTGTACCGGTGTACCGTCTTGCATTTAATGGCACTTGCGCAGTTCTACTTATATTTTCTAGAGAATCCAAGGGAACCAACATTTGCGCATTTACAAATGAGTGCACGTGAGCGCTTAAGAAAGTTTAGGCAAGCTAAAATTCTCGTAAATTGCAGAGATGCAACATTGCAAGAATTTCATACAAAAAAAAAATATGGGGCAAATGCACACCTCTCGAGCGAAAACATAGTAATGAGTGGAAAGAATAAATATATTGAATATGTATACGTACATATTAGTTAACAGCAGTAGGGAGTCATTTCAGCCAACATAACTCTAGCAATAGAAGTACCTGATTAGCTCGCGCAATAAATACTTATATTTTAGTGCTACCATCCAAGATAACGCCTAAACGAAGGACAACTTTTGGTCCTGGCTGTACGCGTTGCCGAGTGTACGGCAAATTCCTAAAGCTGGCAGACAGTTCGTTATCTTTAGACATTAGTTAGTCCAAAAAACCAGTCTCACTTCCATCTCCAGTAAACACACTGAACATTTGTTTTTATGCCCATCTGACACGACGAAGCTATTTATGTACAATTATGAAGACATTGTGAGGAGACTTGAGAATGGCCTCATGGGACAAATTCTTCTTGTCGCCGCGGAAAATGATTTGATGGCTTCAGAAATGCAGTAATGACGCATGCCAGAATACTTAACGAGTATCGCTCGCTGCAAGCAAAGAGACTAAAATTAAATAAAAAATTCACTATCAATATTAATACTCATATTCGTGTACGTCTTCGTAAATTATAGCATATGGAAAGCACGATCATTGCAGCAGCCTTGCCCAACAAGACACCATATACACAGCGGATCACTTAGCGACAAAGTGGGCTTATCAAACACGAGAAAGATATTGCATTAAAATCTTCCTGCGTTATGCACGGCGCATGACAATGTGATGAGAAGCATAACACGTACGTGCTGGCACGGCCACTCAGGGCAATGTCCTCACGTAACACCAGCCAACATACGTGCACGAAATCGACGAGAGGTAATATCTTATATCGAGGTATTTATATCGCGCCAATTATATAAGGAGATCCCTTGCAACTGGCAAATCTTGACCTGTGACTGCGCATACGTGGAAGCCATCTTTACGGGGAGTGGGGCGGCGCGGCAGATGACGTATGAACTGTTATATGACGCAGCGCTTCATTCATCCTTAGTGAATTAATGATCTGATCCATTAGAACGAAGAAATGAGTGGGACGGACACGGCAACAACTGCGTCAATAGCAGCTATTAGAAACAAATCTTAACCTTCTGATTTGGAATGTAAGGATTACTAAAAAATTATAAAGAAGAACGAATCACTTTTATAAGGAGTTTGATGAAATTTCACTTTGCCAAGACTCGCTATGACGGTAACGTCAGAAACGTTTCACACTTTCTAAAAAAATTCTTCACCATTTATAAAGCTCGATATAAAACTCATTTCATCCGTTACAGTTCAAGACAATCTTTGCTAAGCTGAACGAACATGATTTAGTAAGCAACAAATCTGTTGCACACCGTGGGTAATGGTCAGCAAGTTCCGAGTCTCAAGTTACTGCGCATGTCTCGCCTCAGGTCAGCACACATCTGAGTGCACGGCTCAGTATAATACATAATTTAGGCATCATGCACGTGAACTCACAAACGTAGCCAACGGGTTAACTTCCTGTTGCCGTCTAGGTAAAGTTCATTGACTACCGTGATGTTATTCCTACCTAAGGAATGGATTGATAAGAGTAAAGTAAGGTACTCACCTTGATGAGTTCTTTGAGACGCTCGCGGTTGTAGGTGTTGCCGATTTCTTCGCCCAAAACCCAGTCCAGTAGCTGCGAAAAACACAAGTACAAATTACTTCTTCATCCAGGTTATTAGCGCAAACTTAATACAACTTGTCCAGTTAAAGGAAGACTAGCTAGGCCGCACGACACGCTCGAACTCAACAGCTAGTGAAAAAACAGGTCCAACGATATCATTAAACAGAGCTTGAGCTCAAGATGCGCTGTCTACTGAATAATTTTGTGCGGGGTCAACACAGTCCAGGAATGCGTGCTTCGATAACCAGGTATAGTACCCAATTCCTGACGACTCACACCAGCCAGCTAACATGCTAGAGTGACTCAAAACTGCCAATATCTGACGCCTCACACTTTTTTGTCAGAAAAAGTCTTCCCTTCACGTGGCAAACAAGTCAGCGTGACCCATGCAAGACAAGGCACACAAGGCAGCGTGACCCACCCTTCATATGGCCCACCATCAAGCATGACCCACCCTTCATATGGCCCACCATCAAGCATGACCCACCCTTCATATGGCCCACCATCAAGCATGACCCACTCTTCATATGGCCCACCATCAAGCATGACCCACTCTTCATATGACCCACCACCAAGCATGACCCACCCTCGCTATGACCCACCCTCGCTATGACCCACCCTTGCTATGACCCCACCTCGCTATGACCCACTCTTGCTATGACCCACTCTTGCTATGACCCACCCTCGCTATGACCCACCCTTGCTATGACCCACCCTCGCTATGACCCACCCTTGCTATGACCCACCTTAGAGATGGGCCAGGCGAAGGCGCCCGTGATGACCATGAAGACGCGCACTAGCCACACGGTGCGGGCGCCGATGGCCAGACCGTGGCGGGAGCAGATGGCTGCACCAACACCAAACAAACATCAAACATACTCATAAGTTACAGCACGTATTTTGTACTTGAAATACTCTCAACAATTTAGTGACTACGATTAAAAAAATGCAGGTCAATCATTGATGAGAAATGAGAATTTGCTTTGCAAGGCTCATACGGTTATAGATACATGGAAAAAAACATTCGATAACCCAGGGCCGTAGCTACGAAGAACACCTGAAGAGGTTTCGCTAAACTTAACGTCGAATCTGCTCAAGGTTTAAAACGACACAATCAGTAGAAAAAATCTTTCTAGCGTCGATTTATTAAATACCGGTATTTCCATGGTTTTAAATCGTGAGTCAACTTAATCCGTCTGATCAAAGAGTAAGTAATTTAACTATTATGGAATGGACACCCCTAAGTGCAACAATTCCTTCTGCCGGGCGTGAAACCATTCATGACATGAACATTTGGGTCAACAGGCGGTTACACCGAATGAAGGATTCTACATTGTTTGAGGCTCTAATAAAATCAGCTATTTAAAAAAATTATTCATGACCAAAAGTAAATAAGGCCAGTGTGAGGTAATCATCGTTTGCCATAAAATAAAATTCAACTGGAGATGAATGATAACATAGGGCATGAGAAAGAAAAGATGCTTTAAATGAATAAAATTGACGGCTAACTATAAGCAGGAATATTCGAGATTTAACTTGGGACGCATCCATCGTAATAAATAGCCACAAAAAATGATAAGATTGCCTTAGACAAAGCGAAACATCCCTCACCCTGCGGGATGATCTCGCCGAAGATGACGATGCCGATGGTGGAGCCGATGACGGCGACAATACCTCCACCAAGCCCGTCGAGGATGATGGTGAGGGTGGAGTTGACGAGCACGTTGCCCAGCAGCAGCGTGCACAGCAGGAAGTTGCCGTGACGCCGCACAGGCTCGATGGCGCGAGCATATCTGTGCCATGTCATATGTTTCCTGAGTGACGTCATCATACAGAGTATCGATCGAACTTACACGTCATTAAGAAACCTTTGTTATGCGGCGTGTCACAAATATTGCTAGAGCATCAATAAAACCTGTGCTATGCATGCCACAAATATTGCTGGGGCATCAATAAAACCTCCGTCATTAAGCAACCTGTGTCTTGCATGCCACACACATTGCTGGAGTATCGATAGAAATTATACGTTAATAAGCAACCTGTGCTATGCATGCCACAAATATTACTGAAGAATCGATCAAATCTACGTCATGAGCAGGCGTGACATAGATCCAGCAACACGTGTCCGCGTCACCACTGCTACCATGACGACCAGAAATGCGCAAATTCAGATTCTGATTGACAGCTTAGCTCTGAAGCAGGAAGCGAACGCCGCAAGTCATGTGCAAGGCGCTCTAGAATCCACAGATTGTGAACGAACAACCCTGACATATCACTTAGCTCTAACGCTACCAGTATAAATACCCCAAAAATTACCTTGGCATCATTTACAAACATAACCGACGATCATATGAGAGGATTAAGCTCAGAGTGCACCGTGTGTTCATCAACGCAACCAGCGCAATTGAAAACCCAGCTTTGATGTTGATCAGAACTCAGTGCGCGTGCCGGCAGGGAAGCATACGAACTACCAACGCGATCGTGTGTGTATAAGGAATTGAACAATTCCAGGCTAGCGATGCAGCGTTCACCTCGCTGCCGCGTCGTACCTTCGAGCGACTGCAGTTAAACAGCAAAGCAATTGTTGGCATGAGGCCTGGCTGTTAAATCTGACACAAGTAAATATATTAATGCGAGTATGGAATTGGATTATAACCAATAACTATTTTCCTAACATAATATGTTCTCCGAATTCCAAGTCAGAGGTCAGAGGAGACACATCACCGAACCCCTATATAGGGAGACAGGTCATGTTAGTTATACGGGCTACTCTGCGTGGGGTGTTCTCCAAGTGTCGCATTCCATCTCATAATTCAAAAGTTTACAAAGTATTCTCTACAAAAAAATCCAATTTTTCAAGGATTGTCATATAAAACGACTAAATAACTGCTTCACATTTCGCCTTTAGAATTACGTAAATGATCATCATAGCGGTTAATTAGTCAATGGAATGGAATTGCCGCAGCCAAGCAATTGGGGAGGTTGATCAGGTAATCATACCGACATAACAAATGAACTGCACATGACGCTGCTACGACCCAACACTCAATCCACGATAGCGTGGATCACACTTGCTATCAACTGTTAGGAGGAAAATGCTGGAGCATTGCATTATGAATAATTGAACTGTTGGTGACACAGACAAATCGAGTCCTACACAAACCTTACGAGCCAACAACTTTTCCTGCAAAAAAAAAAAAACATCTATGGAACGGCCGTAACGAAGGTCACGCGGAAATGGCGAAGGTCATACGGTATTGACAGAGGTCATATAGAAATTCTTAATGATAAATGGATATATATAATATATGGTATAAGATATATAATTACATGTTTGAGTTGCCTATTGAAAAACTCATGCGAAGATACACGAAAAAAATTGGAGCCAATAGTCTCGAGCCTATATGAACACAAACGTAGGTTAGAACATGATAACAAGTTGGTGCAATACACATTTGTTTATACAAGATTGAACACATGAGAATCCATGTGTTCAATCATGAAACACAAAGAAGAACATGAACAAAGTTGAAAGGAAGTTAGAGAGGAACGTCAAAACACGTTCACTTCGATAACCTAACCCTTGCGCGATCGACTTCCAATCAAGAGCTGCAAGCCTGAAATTTCCCCAGGTCTTCCCTTCGTCTCCATGACATTGGAGACGAACCATGGAGACCAATGTCATGTCTCCATGACATTGGAGATTCTCCATTGGATCGCGCCTGCAGCAAAGTGTCTGCATGCGTAGAGCAAGAATCCGTAGTTGGTGCCGCGCAAATAAGAAAGCACACAGTCGCCGGCTGGTCAGAAAAACATCGAACTCATCACCTGATTTTTACCGTCGATTCAGCGTGCGTAACATTCCACCATGCTATATATTATCATTTTATACTGTAATAAATCATAGATTTGCCCAAACATAATTTTCGTTAGTACTGCGGCTTTATAAAATGAACATAAAACACGTTCTTCTCATCGCAAAAAAAAAAAAAAACGGCGATAGTTCGAGACAACTGCTGGGGCGTCGAGAGTCATTAAACTATCCGATAAATTATACGCTGGAATTTATAAAGCTTCAATGACACTTACAGCCATATTTATTGTGGCTCCATTATTAAAGTCAAAGAGATAAATAACTGAGACTCGCAACGATGAACGGCGCTCACAGAGCGACTAAAGCGGCCGACTGTAGCTGAGCGCTGGCTGAGAGTGCTGCTGAATGTTTGCTCGAGTGCTGCTGAATGGTTGCTCGAGTGCTGCTGAATGTTTGCTCGAGTGCTGCTGAATGGTTGCTCGAGTGCTGCTGAATGGTTACTAGAGTGCTGCTGAATGGTTGCTCGAGTGCTGCTGAATGGTTGCTCGAGTGCCGTAGAATGGTTGATTGTTCGAAGAAATTCAAGAATTGTGATCACACACGTATAAGCAGCTTAGAACACAAACCCTACAATTATGAAAAAAGCAAGGCAACATTGTTTTGGATATTAGATGCAACATACAGTGGGGGGAAATAAATATTCGTACACTTGAAAAATCGTATTTTAATGTATGTAAGTACACAAACTTAACAGGAAAAGTGATTTAAATTATGTCTAGAGACGCATAGTATTCAAAAATACTATCAAAAGAAATTAAATCTCAATGCAACAAAAAACAATGCAACATGTTCACTTTTCGGGTGAAAAAAGTATTCGTACAAAACAATAAATCCGCATTATTTTAATTTAATACTTGGTTGAATACCCTTTATTGTGCCAAGAAGAATGGTATAAAATATCAGTCAGCATCTGCAAATCATTGGTCGAGACGTATAGAAATAGACTGGTGTCTGTTGAGCTGAATAAAGGGTATTCAACCAAGTATTAAATCAAAATAATGCGGATTTATTGTTTTGTACGAATACTTTTTTCACCCGAAGAAGTGAACATGTTGCATTGCATGTTGCAACATGTTCACAAGAAGTGAACATGTTGCAGCAGCCCCCCACTGTATAGGAAAGAGAGATCACACCACAAGGTGACAGAACTGAATTTCTGTCAACTGGAATGCCATAGGTTTTAAAAAAAATTATTGTAATTGAAATTGTTTAAAGAAAACAATAGATGTGCAACTTAACAACGAGAGAGCAAAATTACTAAAGAAGGTATTTTTTGTCCAATGATAACAATGGGTGTGAGACGAACCGTCGTTCAGTGGGAGTGCCGGTGTTGGAGACGATCTTGAGCTCGGTCTTGTCGAGGGCCATGAGGCCGAGGTTCAGGCCAGAGAACAGGCCCGACAATGTCAGCAGGATCGCCAGCAACAGCACCTGGCAAACGCAGCACACAAATGTTAACATCAACATTAACAATATTTGTTTTGTAATAATTGCAGTGATACATCAATGTCATCTTGTAGAAATACAACATACTTTAACAATATTTGCATTGCACTCACCTGGAACCAGATGGGCAGCGCCAGCGTGTAGGTAGTTAAGGCGAGCCAGGGCGCGTTGCCCTGGGACGTGGCGGGCACGATGCTGTCCGTCCTCCTGACGCAGAGATGCCATCGCGTCTGGTCGCCCACCATCACCGGCAGACGTACCTCCACCAGCCCGAAGTCCGGCCCCGCCTCGTGCAGCTGAATTATCACAGTAAAATATCGATATAAAGTCTACAGAAGAAAGGAAATATAGAAATTATCAAGTCTAACAGTCAACATGATTGCTTATTGAGTTCAGCAAAACAAATCCAGAAGCGATTGCCAAAGATCACACATATATTTGAATGATCAGACATGTAGTTTAATGACTTCTACCGTGGCTTCATTTACAAATCAGCAAATTAAATTCCGATGATAATGATCATCGCAAAAAAAATCAAATTTATGCAGTTAATTGAAATCGACTATTTCTAACCCTGGTTCGTTCAATAAGCGGTTGGCTTTTTTCTGCGAAGAGTAAACTCAATCGGCACACAATGATATATTATTCACCCTAGAGATTTACTGATTTATTTTTATGCAGAGAATCCTGAATGCGACTTTGAGCATTTTGAGACAATCGAGCTTCACAAATGAAACTAACTTTCGTAACTATCGAAGCAGCATCGACTTGCTGCCATGTGCATTGGTCTCAAACCGTCAAACGTATTAATAAATTTATCTTGTATCGTGGAAATGGTGTTGTTCCTTCTTGGTTGATGGTATAGGCCATCCCTATACTTTTTCAATCAAAAAGAAACTCTACAATTTTCGTGTAGACTTTAAAGTCCGCAGCAGACCGACAGTTCTCGGCAGAACAGGCGCTTTATGGAATGGGAAAAGGCAAAGACACCGGAAACTGCTCCAATCTGTTGCTTAGCCGAACGTCATAAGTGAACAAAACCAAACATACTGTGAACGAGGTAAGGTGAATGCTCTAAGATAAATGTAAATTGCTCTCTAAATAAGAAAGTATTCAAATGTACATGGTTCGACACCACGCTTCAATGAACTCTATGTCGTCCAACCCCAGGCACTTATTATGCTTCAGTTCATATATGATCGCACTAAAGCCACGGTTTTTTTCATGGGCGACGTTACATATATTCAAATGAAGATTATGAGCGTCAATTTGTCCTGCTGACATTAATAGCCGAGACTGACGAATTTACTGGTTAGCCTCGAATGCCAATTCCCACTACTAAGTGAATTTAACACGATAGTAAAAGGAATTCATGGTAAATAACTATCATGAAAATAAGCGATCTCATAAACAATTTTAGACTCCCTTACATTCTTAGATAACAACTTCTACGATACTGCAGCAACACAGCGCCGGGTTTCATAGGCTTAGTAATTATGACAAGTGGTGACCGAAGCAAATGATCAAGCATTTATGGTCCATACCCCTAAGCAACACGGTGCAGTTTTGCATTGCTTTTGAAGATATGGACCCGTTTAACTTTCCAACAGAACGCGTGCGGACTGCATATATGCTAAAAATTTACAGGCTTTAAAAAATTCTGTGTTTGTTGATTTTAACTCCCAAGCAAAATTATAAAAAATGATATTCACCTCAATAAAAACCTGCAGTATGAAGACTAGATTAACACGACAGTTGAAATATAGTGTAAATAGGTCAAGCGTAAAATAGTTATTTCACTCTTTGGTTAATTTCGCGACAAATTGAAGATGGGACAAAAATGACAATAGAGATGATCAGAAAAATCATGATACGGGCTGATGTACAGAGAAGATATCTGGCGGTTGCTTATTTGATTTCACAACATAGTTTTATGACATAGTTTCAGTCTTCTAAGTCCTGTAATCCTTCAGGACATAGTTTTATGTCCTGAAGGATTACAGGGAAATTTACAGGACCTGGTTCAATTTGGAACAATACAGGGTTATTCCAAATGATAGACAAAATTCAATTAATTCGTATTTAATAAATTATAAATAAATACGACCGTCATTTAGAATGACAAGATCTGATCACATTTTGTCAGTTATATCAATTATTACAATACTTGCGAGCGAGCGCCTGATTAGCTAGGCTGAACCCAGCATCTGATCAGCCATTCAAAAATGAATGTAACTGGATAATTCAACATGCAGGTCGCATCAGAGCAAAATTCATTGAAATCGCTTTATATCTCGTATATTTATCATATCATTCTGAGCAAATACTCAATAGCGTGGCGAGTTATCTATACATATGTATTAAATCCATATGTACATATGTATACATATGTATTAAATCGGTATACATATGTATTTGAGATTACCCATAGTTCAGGGTAGGTAAGATCCACAGGAATAAATCGCCCGTGCGTCGTGTTGCAAGATGCATCGAACCCACGACTCATGGCCTAACGAACAATATTCTTCTAACAACATTATAATAGTTGAAACAATTGCATGCAAGGCAGCCGACTAATAATATCTTCTACAAAATCTGTACCTGCAATAACCTCGAGTGACGCTCTCGATTTACGAGAATTATGGCTATAGGCTGTTTTTATTAAGCTCTCAGCGGCCGACCGTCGGCGTCTCTCAGGATTATGGAGCGACAAATTCTATACCGGTATATACTATATATACTACATATACTAGACCAACAGGGCAGGAGTGTCGCCGAGTAGACGTATACTCTCGGTTACGGAGTTGGCATTTACAGCCAAGGTCGCTGTTTTTGTCACAGCCTACATTAGAGATGTAAACAAAGAACGCTAGTTGTGAATGAGCTAATAACGCATCAGTTCTTACTACGACTTCCTCCATGGTACAATTTATACTAAATGAAATCACAAACCACATGCATCAGTTGCTTAAATTCTGCCTAAATCATTTCAACGTATGATTGAAAAGCTTCGAAGTAAAGCTGTGAGAAAAAAAAAAACCCTAAAATATCACGATTTAAGAAGCACCTAATGAACTAGAGAACAGAAATAAAAATTTCGCCAATCAACTTCTCACACTCCCCGGTTTTCGACCAATATTGTGCAGTGAGTCTCTTTAACGTAAAACCCGGACACGGATCCAGTTAATTATTCACTAGAGCTGGGAGCGCGAGTTGACTGATACGAGACTTGATTAACGAGATAAACCCTTGAGCTGCTCCAGCAAGTACGGGACTAGAAACTCAGATGTGCACACAGCAGAAATACCGCGTCACTGGCGAGGAATTGTAGCCGAATATTATTCAGAAATTCAGTTTGTTTATTCACCTGGTCATCGTATGCTTACATTATCGCGGGCGAGTAACACTATAGCTGCTCGCCTTGCCGTCCCATGATCATGGCGTTATTGCTTTCTGCCATTTCGGTCCAGTTTTCGGTCATAGCTCTTCCATTCCTTTCACTGAAGAAGTCATAAAAAGTTCAACTTAAAGATTTCATAACGGGAAGTCGACGAAAGCATCGTGATCGAAGCCCCGCGCAAAAAATCTCTGCTTTCGATTAGCATCTTAGGTTTTTTTGTAGTTAAACCAAATAAATTAGAAATATAAAGAATATAAAGTATTGTAAACACCAAAATCACATCACAAGGAGCAAAAATGGCCTGATCTTAAAATTACTTAAGTATAGTAGGTATAGTATAGTATCTTCGGCATTTAGAGAATAGGCCTGGATAGGCCTGTCGCCGATTCTTGTACTTTTCTAGACTAGACTGGCCTTTTGATCAGATCTTTTCAACGGACGGTAGATTTAAAATAGCTTCTAGATATCAGTTGTTCCGTAGGGTACGAGGCATTTTAAGACAACATATGCTCATGCATGGCCTTGTCTAGTCTGTTATTGAACGCGTTCATACTCGGAGCGTCAACAATATCTTCAGGGAGGCTGTTCCACAAGTCAGTGGCTCGAAGCGAGAAGAAATGTTGTCGCGTGGATAAGTTGAACCGCAGTTTTTTTAGTTTATAGCTGTGGCCCCTGGTGTTGGTTCTTGTTTCAAATTCTAGTAATCCTTCTGGGACCTTGTACAAACCATGAGTATACTTGTATACTTCAATGAGGTCACCACGCAGGCGACGATAACGGAGACTGGGAAGCTTCAGTCTTTCTTCATAAGACTTGCCCTTTAATCCTGGGATTATCCTTGTTGCACGTCTTTGAACACTCTCAACTAAATTTTTGTCCTTTTCAAGTCTAAAGAACTGATTTAGAACATTGGCCTTGCCCTCGTCAGAAGATATCTTCCGTTGATTTACATTCAAATCAGCAATACCGTACCTTATCTTACACTTCAAACTAGCATACAAGAAGAAGGCTTTCGGGTTCTTTTTCGAGTTTTTGGCAACGTCTTTTTCAAAAATTTTGACTGCGGTGCGACAAGCTTTTTTAGCTTGATTTCGAGCTCTTGCATACAGGTTGTACTCAGGTTAAACCAATGATTTGGTATACAGGTTAAACCAATGATTTTGCGATCATACGAACACATGTTCTTTAAAGCCCTGCATGCATAATCGTTGGGAACAGGAGAGAACCGGGCTCGAATTCAGTGCACGATTGTCAAGTGCAAATAAATAAAACTAAAAAATGCGGCGCAATAAATTTTATTATTATTTGCGATAGTATTTCTGATGCACATTTTATCTTGATTTCTAAATTAAAGAAAAGAAGAGCACAAGTTTCAGAAAGTGAATTGATTCAATTTAGGAAAGTCATCGGTGCAGACAAGGTCGAGATGGAAGCTGTGTCCTGCCAACTGTGAACAGAGGGGTTTATTATCTAAGCCTTAAGGAAGGAATATGCATCATGTCATATTTAACCTCCACGGCCTTATGTATGTGATGTGATCGCATCATTTGATCGATTGCAATTATTATTAGAGTGAGTTCAGCGGGAGCACATACATACAAGTTCATGCATCAGCCTTCATGATATCCACACACAAAATTAAATTTCAATACGCAACTTTTTCGGAGCCATTGGCACTAACCAACGGAAGTAGTTCACACGGGAACCTTGACGTAAGTCTATATTTGATCGTTTGTTAACTTCTTCGTACAAATTTATTGTGTCAGGATGGCAGTAATTTATATTTCTCGTATCGCTGCAGTGGTTGCAAGCAGCCTTCGGGTCTCGTAAGCCTTTGATTTCGCATGCAGGAAAGCTTGTTTAGGCGAGGGATTAAGATGCAGGTTTCTAAGGCCA